GCTGGGTAATCGCCACGAGACGACCTTGACGTCAGTCAGTAGTCCACTCACTGGCGAATTCTCAATCGACCAGAAATAATTCTGATTTGGGGATTCATTTACGGTTTTGGGATGGCTCTTTGGTTTTAATTTTTCTTCGGTTTAGTGACAGCCGGTTTTTTGGAATTTTTATACGGGTCTTCTTTCATATAGGCGTATATTTGGTTTTAGGCTTGTTAGCTTGTACTTGAACGTGTTCTCTTTTGGTTAGGCGTTGGATGACTCATGTTTAGCACAGGCATGGGATTAGTAGGTTTAGATTTAGGTATGATTGGCGATGTGACTTATGCTTGGCGACTTGGCTTAGGCTTAGTACACATAGACTTCTCAATAGTCTTAGGCTTATTGGTCTTATGGTTGGTTGCCTTACGCATAGTAGGCTTAGACGAAAAGTAGACTTAGGATTGGTAGGTTCAGGCTTAGTAGGCTAAGGCTTAGTAGGCTTGATAGGCTTAGGCTTGGTAAGCTTAGCTTCGACCGCTTACAAAAACTTTTTATTTTTTAATATTTTAGTCACAAAACACAAAGATTTAAAGCTATTTATTGATGGTAAAAACAGTTTTAACTTATTTACTCTGTAAATCTGTAAATATATTAAACAAATTAGATTGTGGTTTGTAACAACGTCTTCCAGAAACCAGATTGTTCTGTAGTTTGCGAAAAAAAACTGTGTTTTGTCGCACGGCTTTAAATTGTCATCAATTTTGGGTAAATCTATATTTAGAAAATTAAACGTGCTACGCTTAGGCTTAAAAGTCAGCAGGGCCGGGCACGCGGGGGGGGTACCCCCAGAAAAAAAATTTTCGCAAAAAATCGGCACAGGTAGCTACCTGTGCCGATTTTTTGGACCCCTGCCACCAGACCAAAAGTCCCCGCCCGGCCCTGAAAGTCTGCATTTGCTAAGATTAGGCTTAACAGCCTACATCTGCTAAGTTTAGGCTTAAAAGGCTAAATCTACTAAATTTAGTCTTAAAATCATAGTTGATTAGTCATGACATGAGGAACGGACCGGGCATGAGAAAAATTTCGATCGGGTTGAGTCTAACATTCAGGCTCGGTCCGGCACTTTCCTCATGTCTAGATTGGACGTTGTTTCGAATCCGAGCCTACTAAACTAAAGCCTCTTGAGAAAATCAAGTATCTAGTCACTGTTGAAGAGGAGCCTCTAAGTTAATGCAAGCCACAATAATTATTGACTCAACAAAGTTTTCAAAAAAGTGTAATTACTTTGAAATTTCACAAGAAAAACAAGCGTTTTCGACTTCTTTTTGTATTGTCTTTTGGCAGTTTGAATACAAAAATCTTGTAGTTTGAAATGTGTCTTTGATTTTTTTCTATTCGACTTGATTTTCTACAATTTTAGCTACAAGTTCGTGAAATAAACTTACTTTAAAATAGGGCACAATTTCTACTTTATGTCCCGGGTTAACAAGTACTTTTTGATTAGGGTTTATTCCGGTCAAGCTTTAAGTTAGGCTTGGGATTAGGCTTATATTAGGTTGAACCGAAAATAGTGGGACACTTTTTATTTGAAAAATAAATGAAAAGTGTCTCGCTACTTTTGGTTTAACCTAATACATAGATATAGGCTTAGAGTTAAGTTTAGGCATAGATTTAGGTTTAGAATCAGACTTATTGTAAAGCTTAGACATAGTCTTAGGCTTAGACAGATTTATTTTTAGGCTTAGATTTATGAAGATTTAAGATAATTTAGGCTTAGTTTTATGATGGTTTAAGCTTGGATTAGATTTAAGCTTAGTTTTAGGCCATGACTCAGGCTTAGGGTTACGATAAGATTTACTGTTAGTCGTAAAGTTAGGCCTAGGCTTAAGCAAGTGTTTATTCGTAAATTTCAGCTTACACTTAGGCTTAAGTTTAAGTAGACGTAAGCTTATGTGTAAGAATTGATTTAGGCTTAATATTTGAGTCAGGTTTTGAGTAATTCATAGGCTTATTATTAGGAGTGGATTCACGTTCTTCACTTCTCCTCCTCCCTCCCCCCTGCCTTATTTTTTTCTGCCCCCCCCCCTAGCGACCTCCTTGGCTGACCATCTAACTTTCTTAAAGCTGACAGTTTCCGAAGCCGATTATTGCGTATGCAACAACATTGATCCGCCACGACAACGTTATGAATCCGCTTAAAGACGAGTGAGGGGTTAATCCGAAAACGTGTTGTTGAAAAGGAAGGGCGGTGACTTTTTGATTTTCGGCAGTCGAAAAAAGGGATCGGAATGGGGTCATTTTCACTCCGAATTTGAGGAAATTGCACTACTTTCCGATCGTTCGGTCAGGTTACGTGAGCGTAGTATGTGTCTGTTGACAAAATGACTAATCGAGGTTATGGTGAGGGGGGGGGGTTTTTTTGAGGGTAGGGTGGAGGAATTCATTGTAATAGTTGTTGGGGGTGGCATGGCGGCATAGGGTAGGGTAGGTTTTTGATAGGGTAGGTGCAAGGATAGGTGAAACAAGGCATGACAGGGCAAGGCAAGGCTAGGCAAGACAAAACAAGGCAGGGCTAAGGTGGGCTGGCATGGCAAGACAAGGCAGGGCAAGGCAATGCAAGAGCAGTCTAGGCTTATGATCGGATGGTCTATATTAAGGCAAGTTGGAGTGTTAAGCTTGAAAAATTTGGTTTTGCGACCTGCCGGTGACAAGTTATACGATAAATGACGTTTTAGCTCTGTAAAGAAAGTTCTTGCCATTTAATGTTTTGTAAAGAAAGTTCTTGCTATTTTTTGTTCTGTAAAGAAAGTTCTTGCCATTTTATGTTTTGTATTTCATTTTGTAAAGAAAGTTCTTGCCATTTTCTGTTTTGTAAAGAAAGTTCTTGCAATTTTTTGTCCAAGCCTGGTATATTACTATAATATCTAAGACTATCCACCCCATTTCAATATGTAGGTGAGGAGGCGGCATGAGTAGTGGACAAGGTCAGCTGAGGGCATTACCCTTATATTCGATCTGATAAGGCGAGAAAATGAAACTGTTCGTGTACTCGAATAGGGTTACAGGGTCACTGCCGTGATGGATGAGGTAATTCGAATGAGTTATGGGAAGTCTTTGCAAAAACTAACCTTTATTAGGGTGGAGAGCGAATTGGGAAGGGGGCTGTTTTTAAAAGAGGGTGGGGCTGACCTTAAGGGCATGAAAATTTAAAAATTAGGAAAATTGGAGTTAGGATCGGGCGTGTAATTTCAATTTTATTTTTGGTTTGTGGGATTCTCCCTTAATTTTTATTAAATTTGTTTTTCAGAGGGGCGGTTTTTTTTTAACAAAGTTGATTTTTAGGGTATGGTTGATTTCTTAATGGTAGGGTTGATTGTTTAAGGGGGCCGGGGTAGGTTTTTTAAATCCAGGGAGGATTTTTTAAAAGAAGGGTGGAGTTTTTAATTCTAAGGTTGATTTTTTTTATGGGGCGGGGTAATTTGTTTTAAGTTTGGTAATTTGTTTAGGTAGGGTTGATTTATTAACAATAAGGAGTATTTTTTAAAAGCACGGTAGATTTGTTAGGGCGTAGCGAATTTTTTAAGGGTAGGGTAGATTTTTTAAGACTGGAAATATTTTTAATGGGGGAGGGAGTGGATCTGTCAAAAAAAAATTGAGCGGAGTATAAGATTTGGGCATGGTAATTTTTTTTGTTGGGTAAAAGGTTGTGTGTAGCAGAGTTTTTTGGCAGAGTGACATTTTATTGGGTTGAGTAGGGATAGACGTAGGGGTAGAAGTAAATTAGCGTAGGGTAGGGTTGCACAGTACAAACATGCTTTTAAATTTTTAAAAGTTTTTTAAATATCAAAATGTAAAAATTTTGATGTAGCTTTTACTATGCCTTGTTTCCAAATTCCAAAACTTCTCGAAACGGTTCTTTTTGTCGTCTTTTCATCTTGACTTACAGCTTGTTTCGCTGTAAAGTCCACTACAGCCATAAACGTTGGCTTGCTACCTTCTTTATTACCCTTGTTTTGCTACGTTTACAAGGGTCACATTCGGGTTTTGTAACATGGAAAGGGCTACCAGGGTCAAAGTAACTTTACTTTTGTATTTTTATGTTTTAGTTTTACTGTCTTTTACTTGTAAAGAAAGTTTTTGTCGTTTTATGTTTTGTAAAGAAAGTTCTTGCCATTTTTTGTTTTGTAAAGAAAGTTCTTGCAATTTTTTGTTTTGTAAACACAGTTCTTGCCATTTTTTGCTTTGTAAAGAAAGTTCTTGCCATTTTATGTTTTGTAAAGAAAGTTCTTGCCATTTTTTGTTTTGTAAAGAAAGTTCTTGCAATTTTTTGTTTTGTAAACACAGTTCTTGCCATTTTTTGCTTTGTAAAGAAAGTTCTTGCCATTTTAATTTCGTAGAGAAAGTTCTTGTCATTTTTTGTTTTGTAAAGAAAGTTTTTGCCATTTTTAGTATAAAATCTAATTTTAGATTTCTGCAGCCCGCGGGTGACATTTTATACGATGAAAAGTGTTTTTTGTATTGTAAAGAAAGTTCTTGCAGTTTAATTTTAAAAATTTTAAAAGTGCATCTTAAGTCATTTTTTGATTCTTTGATCAAATTCTTCTTCATTTATCAAGAATGTGATATTATTCATGTCTACTCTCGCTTGACCTATGCGAACTTTCAAAAGTTTTACATTTTAACAGTCCATTCCAACGTTTTAACAAAATGGCGCGATTTTACTGTTACTTTCACTGTAAAAAGTCGTTTTTACGACTGGCGACGGTTTTTGGTCAAACAGGGGGGTAGACTTTTAATTTTAAGCTTCAATCTACTAAGCCTATGCCTACTAAGCCTAATAAGCCTACTAAGCCTAAGTCTACTAAAACTAAGTCTACTAAGCCGAAGCCTACTAAACCTAAGCCTTCTGATCCTCATCTTACTAAGCCTTAGTCTACTAAGCTCGAGTTTAACACTATATAAACGCGTTTTAAAAATTTTCATTCAATTTTTTTTTTAAATTTCTTAATTTTAGGTTTATGGGGTTACTGGGTGCGGTGGCGGTGATATTCACCGTTACCACGGTAATCTTCTGGATCATACGACTGTACAAAAAGAATCATGAGTATATGAACAAGGTTAGAGGGCCACATCCGAGTATGGTCGTGGGGAATGTGCATCAGTTTAGGTTCAAGCCTGATGGTAGGTTTCAGTTTGGGTTACTGTAATATTTGGTATTGTAAATTATTTTGAAAAGGGGTACTGTAGCATATAGTTTTTTTTATAGTGGGGATACTGTAATTTTGTTTAAATTTTTAAAAGTTGGTACGGTAGTTTGACAAAGGCGTACTGTAACGTTTTGAGTTATATTGTAACTTTTGGTATGTAAAGTTGTGGCAAGGGTACTGTAGGACTTTATGTAACCCAATGTAAGCCTAATATCATCATTTTTTCAGAATTCTTTGAGCAAGTCCAAGGTTTATCGTACATGTTCTGTAGCCTAAAAGAGCGAATCGTATCAGTATGGATCGGCCCTCTGCCATGCATAATGTTATATGGAGCGGAAGAATGCGAAACGATATTGGGAAGTCAGAAGACATTGACAAAACCGTTTCATTACCACTTTCTGACACCTTGGATTGGGCAGGGATTACTTATTAGGTAAGTAGTATCCCTACCCCTACCCCTACCCCTACCCCTACCCCTACCCCTACCCCTACCCCTACCCCTACCCCTACCCCTACCCCTACCCCTACCCCTACCCCTACCCCTACCCCTACCCCTACCCCTACCCCTACCCCTACCCCTACCCCTACCCCTACCCCTACCCCTACCCCTACCCCTACCCCTACCTCTACCCCTACCTCTACCCCTACTGTTACCCCTACCCCTACCTCTACCCCTACCTCTACCCCTACTGTTACCACTGCCCTTATCGCTACCTCTAGTCTTACCCCTACCCTTATCCTACCATACCCTACTCTACCCTTCCCTACCCTCTTTGCTACTCCAACCCTTGCCTTTAAACTAGAAGTCTACCCTTACCCCTGCCCCTATTCCTGCCTCTATACTTACCTCTACCCATACCCTTAATCTTGCCCTTACCCTAACTCTACGCTACTCTAATCTCTACCTCTGTCTCTGATATCTACTCCTATCCTACAGTATGTTTACCTTTTTAGTGAGCCCAAAAAATGGCGCCCCCGCCGTAAACTGCTCACCCCCACCTTTCACTACGACATTCTGAAAGACTTTGTCCAAGTTTACAATCGACATGCAGCCACATTACTGAGTAAGTTCGACAAAATCGCCGAGTCCGGAGAGTTTATCGACATTTTTCATACGATCACACTGTGCACATTGGACATCATTTGTGAATCAGCCTTAGGATATAACATTGGCGCTCAACAGAACGTTCACAGCGAATACTTGGATGCGGTGTTTAGGTATGGCTTTGAGGGTCTTTGTGGGCTTTAAAAGGGTCTTTTAAAAGATAGTACAACTTCTTTTTGATGACTTTTATGACGAGGCGGATATTAAGGAAAGGTAGGGTTAAAATTTCTGGGCCGTTTAAAACTGTTGGGCATGGTAAAAGGTTTGGGCATGGTAAAAGTATTTGGGCGTGGTAAAAGCCTTGGGTTTGTTAAAATTTTGGGCATGGTAAAAGTCGTTGGCATGGTAAAAGTCGGGCGGGGTAGAATATGTGGGCATGGTAAAAGTGTTTTGCATGGTAAAAGTTTTTGGCATGGTAAAAATTTTGGGGCAAGGTAAAATTTTTGGGCAGAGTAAATATTTTGGGTAGGGTAAAAGACTTGGGCATGGTAAAAATGTTTGGACAGGGTAAAAGTTTTGGGGAGGTAAAAGTTTTGGGGAGGGTAAAAATTTTTGGGCATGGTAAAAGTATTGGGCACGGTAAAAGTTCTGGGCATGGTAAAAGTTTTGGGCATGGTAAAAGTTTTGGGCATGGAAAAATTTTGGTTAAGGTAGGGTAGGGTAGGGTAGGGTAGGGTAGGGTAGGGTAGGGCAGTGTAGGTATCTTGATTGGGTAGTGTGGGGTAAGGCAAGGGTAAAGGTAGAATTGGGGGTATGATCTAAAGGGGTATTGACATAAATTTTATTTTCAGAATGAAGTACATAGTTCACCAACGTCAAGTCAACCCAATCTACTACCCCGAGCCGCTATGGCAGCTTTTTGGCTACGGCCGCGAGCAGAAGAAGCTGGTCGACATTCTTCACGCCTTCACCAACAAAGCCATAATGAAAAGAAGGAAGGTGGTGGACGAGGCAGGCGGAATGCAACAATTGATTGAACAAGAACGATCGGACGGTCACTCGAGAATGGCATTCCTGGATTTGATGCTGGACATGATGGACAAAGGGCAATTGGACTTGGATGGCATTCAGGAAGAGGTCGATACCTTCACTTTTGAGGTAGGCGTGGGTTTTTTATTTTTTCGATTTTTTTTATTGATTTTGTAATTTTTTTTGATATTTTGAGCTTTTTGAAATATTTATTATTTTTAATTTAAACTTGTTTAAAATTTTTTAATTTTTTAATTTAAAATAAAAAAATTTGAATTTAATTTTTTAAAAACTGCAAAAGTTGCATTTAAAAAACCTTTTTTTATTTTTTTTTATTAAAAACGCTTAAAATCAACCCAAAATGGCAATATAAACCCGATTGTTACCTAAATTTCCATTTATTCACCAAATAAAACCAAAAAAACCTAAAAATCAGTGAGAAACCAGTGCGAAAAGAGAGAGCTATCAGCGAAAGAAAGAAAAGATGGGAGCTCTCTTCTTTTCCGAGAGAGCTCTCTTCGTGTTTTCGGGGAAACCCAATCGAAACACAACTTTTGGTTTTATATACGGCAACGAGAGATTTGGCTTCTTTGACTTATAAGAGTCCAATTGAGGTTGGTACTTGGTTCAGCTCATGCAAATGAGGCAGGAAATTAAAAATTTTGGAATGCATAAATTTGGGCTGTTCTATTGTTTTGTAAAGATCGTTCTTGCCATTTTTTGCTTTGTAGAGAAAGTTCTTGCTATTTTAAGATCTGTAAACAAAGTTCTTGCCATTTTTTGTTTTGTAAAGAAAGTTATTGCTATTTTTTTAACTTTTTGAACTTTTTTGTTGTAAAATACGTCATACTCAGTATAATTAATCAAAAATTTCAGGGCCATGACACAACCTCAGCAGCGATGAACTGGTTCCTCCACCTGATGGGCAACCATCCCCAAATCCAAGCTCGAGTTCAGAAAGAAGTTGACGAGGTTTTGGGCGTGGATCGCGAGCCGACTTTTGAAGATTTGGGAAAGTTGAAGTATTTGGAAGCTTGTTTCAAGGAAACACTGAGACTCTACCCTTCAGTACCATTGATTGCTAGGCTTATCACTGAAGACACTAAAGTTCGTAAGTTCATTTTTTTTACTTGTTCCACGCTTACTCTGGCCAAAATTTTACTCCGCCTGAAATTCTACCCTGCCCAAAAATTTAACTTGCTCGAAATTTTACCCTGCCCAAAATTTTATTTTGCTCAAAATTCTACTCTGCTCAATATTTTTTCCTGCCCAAAATTTAACCCTGTCAAAAATTTTACCCTGCCCAACATTTTACTCTGCCTAAAATTTTAACCCGCCCAAAATTTTACCCTATCCAAAATTTTACCCTGCTTAAACTTTTTACTCCGCTTAAAATTTTGCTCTGCTTAAAATTTTACTCTGCCCAAAATTTTACCCTACCAAAAATTTTACCCAATTTAACCATGCCCAAACTTTTATCGTGTCCAAGATTTTACTTTGCTTAAAATTTTACTCTGCCCCAAATTTTTCCCTGCCTAAAATTTTACCCCGCCCAAAATCTTACCTTGCTTAAAAGTATAATCTTTCCTAACCATGCTAACGTTAATAACTTTCTTTTCAGACAACCACACAGTACCAAAGGACAGTATAGTACTTGTAATAGCATCGATGGTTCATCGTGATGAACGGTTTTGGCCGGATCCGGAGACTTTCAACCCTGACAGGTTTATGGACACAGAGCTGAAACACCCATATTCATACATTCCATTCTCAGCTGGGTCTAGGAATTGCATTGGTGGGTTAGACTTTATAAATTTTAAAAATTAAAAAATTTTTTTTGATTTTTTTTTATTTTTTTCGAAATTTGGTTTGAAATTTTTGCTTTAAAACTTGGAGTAAGAAACCTAAATTTGAAAAAATTTATTGCCATTTTTAGTTTTGTAAAGAAAGTTCTTGTCATTTTTTGTTTTGTAAAGAAAGTTCTTGTCATTTTTTGTTTTGTAAAGAAAGTTCTTGCCATTTTGTGTTTTGTAAAGAAAGTTCTTGTCATTTTTTGTTTTGTAAAGAAAGTTCTTGTCATTTTTTGTTTTGTAAAGAAAGTTCTTGTCATTTTTTGTTTTGTAAAGAAAGTTCTTGCCATTTTGTGTTTTGTAAAGAAAGTTCTTGTCATTTTTTGTTTTGTAAAGAAAGTTCTTGCCATTTTTTGTTTTGTAAAGAAAGTTCTTGTCATTTTTTGCTTTGGAAAGAAAGTTCTTGCCATTTTATGTTTTGTAAAGAAAGTTCTTGCCATTTTATGTTTTGTAAAGAAAGTTCTTGCCATTTCATGTTTTGTAAAGAAAGTTCTTGCCATTTTTTGTTTTGTAAAGAAAGTTCTTGTCATTTTTTGCTTTGGAAAGAAAGTTCTTGCCATTTTATGTTTTGTAAAGAAAGTTCTTGTCATTTTTTGTTTTGTAAAGAAAGTTCTTGTCATTTTTTGCTTTGGAAAAAAAGTTTTTGCCATTTTTTGTTTTGTAAAGAAAGTTCTTGCCATTTTATGTTTTGTAAAGAAAGTTCTTGCCATTTCATGTTTTGTAAAGAAAGTTCTTGCCATTTTATGTTTTGTAAAGAAAGTTCTTGCCATTTTATGTTTTGTAAAGAAAGTTCTTGCCATTTTTTGTTTTGTAAAGAAAGTTCTTGTCGTTTCCTGTTTTATAAAGAAAGTTTTAAAGTTCTAGTCTAGACTAGCTTAAAACATTTTACAAAATTTGCCGCAAGCTCATCACTTACTAATATTACACAGTAAAGCACTGTTTTTTCTCTTTTTTACTGTGTAATGTATAATTATATCAATGAGTAATTTGTGAAAACAAGGTAATTTAACAACGTTCAAGTTTAGTAATGTGAGTTTAAAGTCATTTTCGAAATTTATAATTTGCTGCAATTTAAAAAATTTTTGAAGGATAGTGTACGGTAAGGTAGGGGAGCGTATGGCTAGAATAGAGTAGACATGAAGAACGGGCCAAGTCGAGCCTCAAAATTTAGGCCGGGCCCGTTAAAAAAAATTCGGGCAAGTCTGAGAAAAAATTTTGATCGTGCAGGGCCTGAAAATTGGGCCCAGCCCGTTACTCATGATTTGAATAAGGTAGAATAGAGTAGGGTAGGGTAAAGTAGGGTAGGGTAGGGTAGGGTAGAGTAGGGTAGGGTAGAGTAGGGTAGGGTAGGGTAGGGTAGGGTAGGGTAGGGTAGGGTAGGGTAGGGTAGGGTAAGGTAGGGTAGGGTAAAGTAGGGTAGGGTAGGGTAGAGTAGGGTAGGGTAGGGTAGGGTAGGGTAGGGTAGGGTAGGGTAGGGTAGGGTAGGGTAGGGTAGGGTAGGGTAAGGTAGGGTAGGGTAAAGTAGGGTAGGGTAGAGTAGGGTAGGGTAGGGTAGGGTAAAGTAGGGTAGGGTAGAGTAGGGTAGGATAGGGTAGGGTAGGGTAGGGTAGAGTAGGGTAGGGTAGGGTAGGGTAGGGTAGGGTAGGGTAGGGTAGGGTAGGGTAGGGTAGGGTAGGGTAGGGTAGGGTAGGGTAGGGTAGGGTAGGGTAGGGTAGATTAGGGTAGGGTAAAGTAGGGTAGGGTAGAGTAGGGTAGGGTAGGGTAGGGTAGGGTAGGGTAGGGTAGAGTAGAGTAGAGTAATAGGGTTAGCAATAAGTTACTTCTTTTCTTCTCATTGTATTGTAAATGTTTCAAGAAGAATTCAATTAAAAGTACATCATAGAAGTGGAAGATTTCACTGTTTTGACTCTCATGTGTCTTATGTATAGGTATACAAAAGTTCTTTGTTCTCCTAAGTACCCTACCTTCGTGTTCTTTTTTCAAATTGCTATTGCAATTTGTTAGAAAAAACCAGTTATTGAACTTTGATTCAAAAGATTAAAAAAAACTTTATACCTAAAATACTAAAAATTGCAAGAACTTTCTTTACAAAATCAAAAATGCCGAGAACTTTCTTTACAAATCAAAAAATGGCAAGAACTTTCTTTACAAACTCAAAAATTGCAAGAACTTTCTTTACAGACCTTAAAATGAAAAAACGTTTAAAACTTTAAATTTTCTGAAGAAACTTTCCTTCCAGGCCAGCGCTTCGCGATGATGGAAGAGAAATGCGTGATCGCCCAGATAATGCGTCGCTTCCGTGTGACATCCAAGTTAAAAACGCACGAAATGCGAGTCGCGGCCGAGCTTATCATTCGGCCAATGTATGGAAATCATGTCAAGTTTGAGCGACGCAGCTTTGGCGACTACACTTTGATCTCAAATTAGATTTTTTTGAAATTTTGAAATTTTTTTCAATTTTTGAAAATATTGTTGTTTTAAAATGATTTTTTAACGGGATGTTGCAATTTTCAATTGTTAGGAAAGTTGCTTTTAGCTTGGAATTAGCTGTTCTGAAATTTTAAAAATTTTTTGAATTTTTTAAATTTTAAATTTTCTTTTAACTTTTAAAATTTGTGAATTTTTTTTTGAATTTTTCTGAAATTTTTTTAATTTTGAATTTTTTTCGAAATTTTGAAATTTTAAATTTTTTTCCTCTTTTCTGTACCTTTTTTCCCTACATTACTGTAATTTATTAGGTAACGACATAAAGAACCCGCCATACTTTGCCTGTAACTTCCTGTAAAAAATGGCGGGTTCTTTATGTCGGCACCTAATATACGACATTAACTTATTCGAATACCTGCTTTGTAACAAACTGAAAAAAACCTCTATAAACGAACTCAAATCTGTCGAAATTCGGAAAGTGAACATAACTTTTTAGTTTGCCTAACCTACTAACTTGTTTGACGCTTTTCTAACTCTGGTAATAGTGGAACTCCTGTATAACGAATTTTTGTGTAACAAACTTCTCTATAATGAACTTTTCTTCATTGACCTTTTCTATAACAACATTTACGTATAACGAACAAGTTTTAAACTTCGTATCGACTTGTTATACACGAGTTCCACTGTATACATGTTGTTATTGCTATTCTTTTGTCGATATCACTTTATTTTTGACATTATTTTTTATGTTTTATTAATTTTTGTTTATTTCATTTGATTTTGCACAATTTGCGTGATTTTTGCTTTGATTGGGTTACTGTAACACAATTTTTTAAACTTTTATTTTTATTGAGTATAACAGAAGAAAAAAGTCGCTTTCTGCCAAAACAAAAGTTAGGGATGACAAAACATATGACATAGAGACGTGTTTTGACACAAGGAACATTTTTGTAAATGTTAGTTTTTTGATTGAATTACTGTAACACACAATATTTAAAAATGCGCTTCCAATATCATCAAATTCCCAAAAAAAATTTTTTTCGGAAACAAAATAATTTTTAAAAATTATTTCTTAGTTTTATACTTTGTTTATGAAGTTCAAAATGATAAAAACCTCGCCCATTTTGTTTTCCTACAAAATTTCCAAATTATATTGTAGTAGGTTCAAGCTAGAGAAAAACAAATAATTGGGCTGAAAGGCGGGGCTGAATTTTTGAAATTGGGGGCTGTTAAACATCTAAAATAGGTTTCTATTTTGTTTGTCATTTTTTTTGGTTTTGGGGCAATTTTATTTTGGCATTTTTTAAATTTTTTTAGTATTTTTGTTCTTTTTTGTCTTGTTTTTTTTTCATTTTTTGTTGATTTTTAACTTTTTTTTGTCGTTTTTTTTTACTCTTTTATTACTTTTTTTGTCTTTATGTCATTATTTTGTTGTTCTTCTACTTTTTTAATTATTTTTTTTCGTTTTTTTCTACTTTTTTTTTGTCTTTTTTCTTGACTTTTTTTATTTTTGCACTTTTTTATCTTGTTTTTTCACTTTTTAATCATTTTTTGTTGATTTGTAAACATTTTTTGCACTTTTTTGTCTTTTTTTCTTTTTTTTTGCATTTTTTTCAATTTTTCTGTTATTTTTTTTCTTATTTTTCTGTTTTTTGGCATTTTTTCTTATTTTTTTTAAAGTTTTTTTGGTTGTCATATTTTTGGACATTTTGTATTAATTTTTCTTGATTTTTTTCTTATTTTTACACTTTTTTTGTCATTTTTTTTCTTAATTTTCTACTTTTTTTTAAATTTTTTTACTTTTTTTTTCTTTTTTTTAATTTTTTTGACATTTTTTTTATTTTTCTTCTTTTTTTGTAATTTTTTTTAATTTTGCACATTTTTTGCCATTTTTTGTTGATTTTTAACGTTTTTTGCACTTTTGCCGTGTGTTTTTTCACGTTTTTTTACCATTACCTACTCATTTTTATTAACTTTTCGCAATTTTAAGTTGATTTTATTTTAATTTTTAGTTGAAAAATGGGTGTACTTGGACTAGCTGCAGTGGTTGGTCTACTAACCTTTGTTTTGTATTGGATAGTCGGCCTTTATAAGAGGTCGGCCAAGTATGGGGCTAAAATACAAGGTCCTACGATTGCACCAGTCATCGGGAACTTGCATCAGTTTAGGTATAAGCCTGATGGTAAGAGTTAATTTTGAAATTTTGGAAAATTTTTTATATTTCGAAAATTATTTTTAAATTTTAAAATTTTGAAAAATTTTTAAAAAATTGATGTTTTGCCATTTTAAAATGTAACTGTTTGTAATTTTCAGTTAAAAAAATAAATTTTCAGAGTTCTTTGAGCAAGCCCAAGGCCTTGGCTACATGCTAAAAGGCCAAACTGAACGGATATCGGCCGTTTATCTGGGTCCAGTCATGTTCATCATGATATATGGAGCAGAAGAGTGTGAAGCAGTGCTTGGAGGACAAAAAACGTTGACCAAAATGTTTCACTACAACTTTCTGACACCTTGGATTGGGCAGGGATTACTTATTAGGTAAGTATTTACCTCATTTTACTGTTCTTTGCCATAGCTTTAGCCCTAGCCTTGACCCTAGCCTTGGCCCAAGCCTTGGCCCTAGCCTTGGCTCTAGCCTTGGCTCTAGCCTTGGCCCTAGCCTTGGCCCTAGCCTTAGCCTTGGCCCTAGCCTTGGCCTTAGCCTTGGCCCTAGCCTTGGCCCTAGCTTTGGCCCTAGCCTTGGCTTTCGCTTTAGTTCTAATCCTAGTCATAGTCCAAGCTTAAGCCCATGCTCTAGTACTAGCCTTAGCCCTAGCTTTAACTCTGGTCCTAGCTTTAGCACTACTACTATCGTTCCTTGCCTCTTTAAGGCTTACTCAACTCAAAGCTTTTACTGTTATATACTTTGCACTAGTTCTAGTCTCAGCCCGGTTCTTTCTCCTAGCTTCAGCCCTTTTTGATACCTTGTCATTACATCAAGTTTATCAAAAAAAATTTTGCAAATGACATAACTTTTTGACATAACTAGATAGCCTTAGAGGAATTGCAAGAAACCGTATTACGTAACGTTTTCTAATGTAATATTATGGTTTTATCTAATATCTGCCTCGATGTAAAACGACCCAACAAATGACTGCGAGTGCTGGGGTTTGGCTCTATTTTACTGCGAGGGACGGGTTTTATCGGCTGTAAATTAAACAGTAAAGTAAACCTGTTAGGCCCAAGATTTTTTACGGTTTACTAATGCTAAGCTAGTCTTAAGTTTGCTAAGCTTAAGTTTAGTTATTCAAGCATACTAAGCCTCAGCTTTCTATTCACACTTAACCTAAGACTAATAAGTCTAGGTCTACCAAAGCTTAAATTTGCTTGTAATGGGAGGCTGATTTAGCCTAAGCTTACTAAGCATAAGCCTTCTAAGCCTAAGCCTTCTAAGCCTAAGCCTTCTAAGCCTAAGCCTTCTAAGCCTAAGCCTTCTAAGCCTAAGCCTTCTAAGCCTAAGCCTTCTAAGCCTAAGCCATCTAAGCCTAAGCCTTCTAAGCCTAAGCCTTCTAAGCCTAAGCCTTCTAAGCCTAAGCCTTCTAAGCCTAAGCCTTCTAAGCTTCTTCTAACTTCTAGATCTTAGCTTATTAAGGTGTAACTTTATTTTTATATAGGATCTAATTTTCAATGTTACAGTAAGCCGAACAAATGGCGTCCTCGCCGTAAACTGCTCACTCCCACCTTTCACTATGACATTCTGAAAGACTTTGTCCAAGTTTACAATCGACATGCAGCCACATTACTGAGTAAATTCGACAAAATCGCCGAGTCCGGAGAGTTTACCGACGTTTTTCATACGATTACATTGTGCACATTGGACATCATTTGTGAATCAGCACTGGGTTGCAACATTCATGCTCAAGACAAGGTGCACAGCGAGTATTTGGATGCGGTGTTTAGGTATGGTTTTGATGTTTTTGGTGTTATTGATAGGTTTGAAAAGAGGGCTTTTATGACGTAGGATAATGTGTAGTGACTTTCTTAAGCGAGGTGGATATTGTGGAAAGGTAGGTGTAAGATTTTGGGCATAATAATATTTTGGGCAGGGTAAAATTTTTGTGCATGATAAACTTTTGGGCATGGTAAAATTTTGGGCAGAGTAACAATTTTGGGCGGAATAAAATTTTTGGCATGGTAAAATTTTGGGCAGGGTTAACATTTTAGTAAGGGAAAACAATGGGATAGGATTTTGAGTAATGGAAAATTTTGGGCATGGCAAAATTGCTAGCAAAGCTAAAGTTTGGGTAGGGTAAAATTTAAAATGGCAAAAATTTACCTTACATAAAAATGGTAAATGTATATGCGCCCGATCCAAAAAGATCAAGCATTCCAAAATTTTTAATTTCCTGCCTCATTTGCATGAGCTGAACCAAGTACCAACCTTTGTTGGACTATAATAAGTCAATGAAACCAAATCTCTCGTTGCCGTATATAAAATCAAAAGTTGTCTTTTGATTGGGTTTCCTCGAAAACACAAAGAGAGCTCTCCCGGAAAAGAAGAGAGCTCCCTTCTTTTCTCTCTTTCTCTGACCGCTCTCTCTGTTTGCTCTGGTTTCTCACTGATTTTAGGGGTTTTTGGTTTTATTTGGGAAATAAATGGAAATTTAGGTAATAATTTAGATTAAAATGGCATTTTGGGGGTAGATAAAGATTTTTCTTAACCCAAAAAAGGGAAAAATTTTCGAAAACTATTTTTAATGGCATTACCTTTAAGAATGAAGTACATCATCCACCAACGTCAAGTCAAACCCTTCTACTACCCCGACCTTCTCTGGAACACGATTGGCTATGGTCGGGAAGAGAAGAAACTGGTCGACATCCTCCACAACTTTACCGGTCGAGTGATAAAGGAGAGGAAAGAAGCGGTCGAAAAAGCTGGCGGGGTCCAAAAGTTGTTGGACGAAGAGCGGATGAGTGGTCATTCTAAAATGGCATTTTTGGACTTGATGTTGGACATGGTCGACAAAGGACAATTGGACATGGACGGGCTTCAGGAAGAGGTCGATACCTTCACTTTTGAGGTAGGCGTGGGTTTTTTGAAAATTTTGGGTTTTATAAAAAAATTTTTTTTATAATTTTTTTGAAAAAAAAGTACTTAAAAAAATTTTTTTTGCAATTTGTTTTTCTCTAGGGCATTTAAAAAATTTTTTTAAGCTTTTTAGAATATTTTTAAAAATTTTGAAATTTTGAAATATTTTATTTTACATAAAAAACCAAAGGTTTTGAACATAATTTTATAAGAAAAACCTTTATATAGACCCAAAATGCCATTTTAGGCTAAATTATTACTTACATTTCCATTTATTCACCAAATAAAACCAAAAAAAACCTAAAAATCAGTGAGAAACCAGTGCGAAAAGAGAGAGCGGTCAGCGAAAGAAAGAAAAGATGGGAGCTCTCTTCTTTTCCCAAAGAGCTCTTTGTGTTTTGGGGAAACCCAGTCGAAAGACAAGTTTTGATTTTATTATATAAAGAAAGGAAAGATTTGGTTTCTTTGACTTAGAAAAGTCCAATTGAGGTTCGTACTTGATTCAGCTCATGCAAATGTGGCTGAAAATTAAAAATTTTGGAATGCTTGATCTTTTGGATTGGGCGGATAAATTTGGGGTGGTAATTCTATTGTTTTGTAAAGAAAGTTCTTGCCATTTTATGCTTTGTAAAGAAAGTTCTTGCTATTTGTGTTTTGTAAAGAAAGTTCTTGTCATTATTTGTTTTGTAAAGGAAGTCCTTGCTAAGCATTATAACAAAACAAGAATTTTAGGGCCATGACACAACCTCAGCAGCGATGAACTGGTTCCTCCACCTGATGGGCAACCATCCCCAAATCCAAGCTCGAGTTCAGAAAGAAGTTGACGAGGTTTTGGGCGTGGATCGCGAGCCGACTTTTGAAGATTTGGGAAAGTTGAAGTATTTGGAAGCTTGTTTCAAGGAAACACTGAGACTCTACCCTTCAGTACCATTGTTTGCACGACAAATGACTGAGGATACGAAAGTTCGTAAGTTATTTTTGTTTATATAGTCCTATTCTACCTTACCCATTTTTTGCTTATAGTTAAATTACTTACGTGACTAAAATTTCAACCTGCCCAAAGTTTTACTCTGACGAAAATTTGACCCTGTCCAGAATTTTACACTGCCCAAAATTTTACTCTGCCTTATATTTTACCCTGCCTAAAATTTTACATGCCCAAAGTTTTACCTTGCTTAAATTTTTATCCTGCCCAAAATTTTACCTTGTCCAAAATTTTGCCATCTCCACATTTTTAACACTCCTATACTTTTTCCCTGCCCAAAATTTTACCCCGCCTTTACTTTTGTGTAAATTTTTAAAAAATGCCATTTTTTAGTCATATTAACCTTCATATTACTTATTTTTGCCATTTTAGACAACCACATTCTGCCAAAAGGCACCGGAGTAGTAATAATGCCAGCCATGGTGCACAAAGACGAGCGTTTCTGGCCCAATCCAGAAGTCTTTGATCCAGAGAGATTTGTGGATTCTGAATTAAAACATCCTTACGCTTATATCCCATTCTCGGCTGGGTCTAGGAATTGCATCGGTGAGGAAAGGGTGTGGTAGAGGAGTCTTTAGGGTTAGGGTATGGTAGGGTGTTTTTACTGTTAAGATAGGGTAGGGCGTTTTTAGGGTTAGGGCGTGGTAGGGTAAGGGTTTTTTAGGGTAAGGGTAGGGTTTTTTCATTGTTAAGATAGGGTAGGGTAGATTAGTAGTTATAGGGTTAGGGCAGGGCATGGGAAGACAGGGCAGGGTTGAGAGATAATTTTGAGGTTAGGGAGGAGGGGTTTTTGGGTAGGGTAAAAATTTGGATAATGTAAACTTTTGGAACGGGGTATCATTTGGGCTTGGTAAAAGTACGGGTAGGGTAGGGTAGGATAAAATTTTAGGGTATGGTAACATTTTGGGCCGGGCAGGGTGGGGTAGGATAGAGCAGAGTAGGGTAGGGTATGGTAGGGTAGGGTAGGATAGGGTAGGGTAGGGTAGGGTAGGGTAAAATTTTAGGGTATGGTAACATTTTGGGCCGGGCAGGGTGGGGTAGGATAGAGCAGAGAAGGGTAGGGTATGGCAGGGTAAGGTAGATAGGGTAGGGTAGGGTAGGGTAGGGTCGGGTAGGGTTGGGTAGGGTCGGGTAAAGTAGCTCAGACAATAAAAAATGGCAATAACTTTCTTTACAAGGCCTAAAATGGAAAAAAGTCCAAAATTTAAAATTTTATGAAGAAACTTTGGTTCCAGGCCAGCGCTTCGCGATGATGGAAGAGAAATGCGTGATCGCCCAGATAATGCGTCGCTTCCGTGTGACATCCAAGTTAAAAACGCACGAAATGCGAGTCGCGGCCGAGCTTATCATTCGGCCAATGTACGGAAATCATGTTAATTTTGAGCGACGCAGCTTTGGCGACTACACTTTGATCTCGAATTAGATTTTTTTAAAATTTTTAAAATTTTTTTAAATATTTGAAATTAAAAAAAAATTAGTGTTTAGATAAGATTTTTGATCATATTGTATGTACATGATGAGATTTAGTGATAAAATTGAACTTATATAGAGATTATAATATTTAAAATATTAATGAAATAAATAAATTTTTACTTTTTTGCCTGCGGTGTTTGAAATTCTGAAAAAAAAAGATTTATTGGTTGTTTACCAACATTAATATTTTTACTGGTAAGGGTAGGGTAGGTTAGTACATGTGTAGGCTTTTGAGGGCATTTTTCTAAATTTTTTTTTGAATTAAAAAAAAATTATTTTCAAAATTTTTAAAATTTCGAAATTTTGTTTTTTATAAAAAATCCAAAGGTTTTTTATCTAACTCTATATGAAAAATCTTCATCTAGACTCAACATGCCATTTGAATCTAAATTATTACCTAAATTTCCAATTTTTTTCCCAGATACACCCAAAAACCCCCGAAAATCAGTGAGAAAACATACCAAAAAGAGAGAGTGGTCAGAGAAAGGGAGAAAAGAAGGGAGCTCTCTTCTTTTCCCAAAGAGCTCTTTTTGTGTTTTGGGGTAACCCAGTCGAAAGACAAGTTTTGATTTTATTATATAAAGAAAGGAAAGATTTGGTTTCTTTGACTTAGAAAAGTCCAATTGAGGTTGGTGCTTGATTCAGCTCATGCAAATGTGGCTGCAAATTAAAAATTTTGGAATGCTCGATCTTTTCGGATTGGGCGGATAAATTTGGGCAATTTTTCGTTTTTTAAAGAAATTTTTGCCATTTTTTGTTTTGTAAAGAAGGTTCTTGCTATTTTATGCCTTGTAAAGAAAGTTCTTGCCATTTTTCGATTTTCAAAGAAAGTTCTTGCTCTTAAAACCCTACAGTAAAATTGAAAGTTCATAAAGTACACATTGAGCTTTGATATTTTAGGTTTAGCGACCATGGCAATAGCAAGAAGCTTACAAAAAAGGACGACTAATTCTCGACTCTCGCCGACTGAAAACAGGTCAATTTTGGGATTTTTTTCAGTCAAAACAAACGTGAAACGAGCGGTGGGACACGCACAACCTTTCCCAATCATTTTGTAGTGAAAGTCGGTGGTTTGGCTAAACAGTAAGTTTATTTTTGAGTATTTTAGGTAATAACTGGGGAATATTTTCAAGTATTTTAGGTTTTTGATCGTGTTTTAAATTTTAAAATTTTTCAAAAAAAAGTTTTTTTCAATTTTTGAAATTTCAAAATTCCAAAATTAGTCAAAATGTCTATTTTGGGTACTAATAAGCCTATTACAAGCCCATAAGGTCAGTTCCGGAGCCCTTCGGACCGTGATCCCATGTGGTCTAGTGGTTAGGATTCGTGGCTTTCACCCACGCGGCCCGGGTTCGATTCCCGGCATGGGAAGATGACTTTTTTGCGCTTTTTTAACCGTTTTTTGAATAGAAATGTGGTTTTTATGGCCAAATATTGTTTCGTATTCGTTTTAAATGGTTATATTAGTTTGTGTTTTACCTATTTTTATTTTATTTGAGTTATATTTTGCATTTTTTAAAGTTTTTTGAAAAAAAAAATTATAAACTGGTATGAACCATGATATAAAATTTCAGATTCAATTCATTAAACAAATAGCACATTGACAACATGGAGAACCCAAAAAAGGAACAACTACATCCGAGGGTTTTGGCATCGCGCGAGATTGCACGTGTCATTTGGTCACCTTTGTGGACTTCGAATCGAAAAAAGCGAATCGATGACATTTTATACGATTATCACTTCTTTTTTGGCACAATGTTGGATGATGAGAGTTTACAAACTCAGCTACTGGTCGAAGAAGGTTGGTTTTTGTTTTATTTTAGTTTTTTTGTGGTTTTTGATAAGGTTGTAAGGGTTGGACAGGTTTTTAAAAGCTTGGAGAAATTAGCGGGAAAATTGAAATTTGAAAAGTTTAAGGCTCAGATTTTGAGCTGTAATTTCAAGTGGTCAATAAGTAACGTATGAGTGACAGTTCTGTCAGTTTTTAGATGAATAGACAAATTTTGAAATGAGCTACGAATTTTTGTAGGTATAGAGGCCTATTTGGCAGGAAAATTTAATTTTGAAATTTTGAAAGTGCATATTTTAATCTGACACTTTAGGTGGTCAATAAGTAGAGTATGAATGGACGTTAAGTAAATTTTTAGACAAATTGACTAATTTTGGTTGAAGCTATGAATTTTTGTAGGTATAGAGGCTCATTTGGCGGGAAAATTGAAATTTGAAAAGTTTAAAGCGCAGATTTTAAAATAAAACTTTAGATAGTCAAACAGAAAGGTATTAGTTAGTTTTTTGGCGATTTTCAAAGAAGTAGACTAATTTTGGCATGAATTATGAATTTTTGTAGGTATAGAGGTCCACTTGGCGGGAAAAGTGAAATTTAAAAACTTAAAGTGCAGATTTTGAACTAAATTGTTTTGTAGGTAATAAATACAGTATACGTGTCTTTTTTGCAAATTTTTATATAAATTCAGCAAATACTTATAAAGTTATGGCACTTTGAAGGTATAGGTATCATGGATAACATAATATTTTTTAATTTTTTTATTTCAAAATTTTAAATTTTATAAAAATTTTGATTTTAGGAGAAGCATTTTTGATAACAGCACCAAGGGATGTGGGTTATGAAAAGTATGGTACTCATCGAAAATGGCAATTGGTCTTTTTGGCCAACAGTGAAACTATTATCAAAGCTCAAGTAAGTTTTCATTTTTTAGTTATTTTTGCCAAAATTTGGAAAAAAATGGTAAAAAGGACAATTTTTATGTTACACTTTGTTGAAATTACTATTTTGGGTAACAATAACCCTATTACAAGCCCATAAGCCCAGTTCCGAAACCCCTTGAGTCGTGATCCCATGTGGTCTAGTGGTTAGGATTCGTGGCTTTCACCCACGCGGCCCGGGTTCGATTCCCGGCATGGGAAGAAGACTTTTTTTGCGCTTTTTCGATCGCTCTTTGATTTGAAAAGTAGTTTTCAAGTTAACATAATGTCTTAGTTTGCTATATCATTGCTACCCCAGTCGTATTTTACTAAATTTTAATTGATTTTCTCGGTTTTTGGATCAATTTTTGAATATTTTCTATTTTTTTCTCGTTTTTTGATCTTAAACGATAAAAATGAGGTTTCTTGGAAGTTTTGTGATCTATAATGTATTACAAGATTACAAAAAATCATTTTTAAACGAGATTATGCTATTTTAGGTACTATTTCTGAACAAAAAGTTTGTAATGATGAAGGATCGAAAGGTGACATTGGAACAGTTTATGGAAGAACAACAATTGACTGGAATTGAACGATTAATGACATTTCAACTCGATCAGATCAAGGTAAGGCTGGTTTTTGGTTTGGCAATATGGAAAAGGATTGTACTGGCCTTATCTTGAAAGATTTTTGAAGAAAAAACTAAATTTATGGGTCTTACTACGATTGATTGTGAAAGTTGTGGCATTGTGTTTTAAGAGGTTAAAAGTGGTTCTTAGGATATTTTATGTGATACTATATAGCTTTTACGTTTGAAAAGGCATTTTAATAAAAAAAAACGAAGCAATGTTGGTCCCACCACGATTGATTTCAAACCTTTTGGCATTGTGTTTTAACCTTTCAAAATCAAACATTCAGCTACTATAACGACATTTTCAGCCAAAAATGGCACTAACACCAGCTTTATCATACCCAATTGACTCAGGCTTATTCCCATTGGGTCGGATCAGCAAACAATCACTGGAATTCGGACCAGAAAGGACCATTCCAGTAATGTGCATGAAGATAAAGCACAAAAGTCAAAAGTTTATTCAAAAAATCAAGGACACAGCGAATGAAATGCTACTGTTTGGCAATGAGTAAGTGGCATTTTGTGATGTTTTTCTAATTTTAAAATGATTTTTTGGAGAAAATTTGAGAAAAATGATGACTTTAGAGGGTTTTAGTTACTGTATATGTTGTAAGATCAAGTTTTTGAAAAAGTGTTATTGTGTTATGTAAAATACGGTGCCCAGACCTTTTGGTGGTTATTTTGTCATATTCTGACATACTGTAGTTGAGTTATGACAAAAAGTTGGAAGCACGGTATAAAATTTAAAGCAATGTAGCAGAAGAAAGAAAACTGTCGTTTTTGAAGATGTTAAAATGAAAATTGAGAAAAATTTTTGATTATTTATTGTAAAGTAGGGCTTTTGGTACAAAGTCAATAAATTTTGTCATATTATGACATACGGTAGGTGAGTTATGACAAAAAGTTGGAAGTACGGTATAAAATCTAAAACTATAGTAGAAGAAGGAAGAAAAATGTCATTTTAAACATGATAAAAGCTAACTTTAGCAAAAGCATTTGTTAGATATTGTAGGGCATGGTTTTTTGTACAATTTCAATTAATTTTGTCATATTGTGACATACGGTAGTTGAGTTATGACAAAAAGTTGGAGGCACGGTATAAAATTTTAAATAGTGAAAAAAAGAAAATTTGGTCCATGCCAAACTTTTTATGACATATTTTGCATTTTCAGGCGTATATGGCGTTTATGGGGCGTATGCGATGTGTCACCCAACAGTTGTATATTGGTAATGGAGGATATTGTCTATGGAAGCTTGTCATTCTTTGTTGGTAAACATTGGAATTCAGAGCAGGTAGGACGTTTCTTTGGCGTTTTTTTGGCAATTTTAATTTTAAATGTACTTTAACATTGACATTGATTTAGAATTATAAAATTTATGTATTATTTTATTTTGCTTTAAAATTCAAAGTTTTTAAAATTTGTGACGCTTCGTCTACCTTTCCAATAATATTTGTGACATTTCGTTAAGTTTAAAAATTTGATTTATAAAACGATTTTAGAGTAAAATACGTTCCTTTCGTGATAAGGTATTTAATATTGTGACATTTTTGCTCGATTTTTAATAATATTTGTGACACTTCGTCTACTTTTCCAATAATTATTTGTGACATTTCGTTAAAGATTTAAAAATGAAATTTTTTAGTAAAATACGAGTTTTAATTTTTAGTAAAATACGAGTTTTTTTGTTGTTTCTTTATATTGTTGCATGTTTTTTGAATTTCCAATATCTTTTGTGACATTTCGTATACTTTCCAATAATATTTGTGACATTTCGTTAAACTTTAATAAATGATTAAAAAAACAATTTTTAGTAAAATACGATAATTGCAGTGTATTTTTTAAAAATTTTTAAATTTTAGTTGATCCGCTTCTCACATCAAACCTGTGAAGCATTACGGTACATTGAGAAGTACGGGTTCGTACACCACCACCTGAACCTGGACTGTCTAATGATAACATATCGCTACAATATCAAGCTGGCCTTTTACGGACTCACGGATGATGCTTTATATCCGGAGAGGCCGAAGGAATATACGGTAGATCAGGCCAGATGGATACCATGGGAGTGCTTACCGGATTACGGTAGAAATGGTACGGTAGGGGTGGGGAGAGTGGGGTTGGGAGGGGCTACTTTATATAATTTTTTTGGGTTTGTGAAATACGATCGGGTCAGTTGTTGGATCTTTAAAAGGCAAATTTTTTTTCGAAAAATATTTTTTGGGTCCTACCACGATTAATTTTCAAGCTCTTGGCATTGTGTTTTAAAAGCTTAAAATGACTTTTCGTGACATTTTTATTGATATAGAACGGCTATTACAGTATAAAAAGTTTTATTTTAGCCTACTTTTGAGTAAGAAGTTGTTATTTTTGGATCCCACCACGATTAAATGCAAAGCTTTTGGCATTGTGTTTGATAAGGTCAAACTAACTTTAATGTCATTCCTCATAATATAAAAATGCCTTAAGTTGTACTCCTATGTTTTATAAAAGAAAAATGATTATTATTGGGTCCCACCACGATTTATTGCAGAACGTTTGGCATTGTGTTTCAATGGGTTTAAATTGTTCTTTATTCTATTCTAAGACGTATACAAGCAAAAAATTTTGTGAATTGACATTTTAAGCTTAACCTGATGTAATTCATACTATTTTTCAGATAAATCAAATGACCTAACCCAATCTACCGCATCCTCAGAGAACTCGACAATATTACACGGCGAAGACTACACAAGCAACAGTATGTCGTACACATTTGGATCACTGGTATGGTCAATGTGTCATGCAGCCACATTGCCGTTTGAAGATCAACTCAGCGATCAAATAATGTCCCGCGGCTACCGTAAACATCATACGGTAGAAGTGAACAAACAATGCACTCCCAATAAGTTGCAACATGTAAGTATCTAAGCCTAAGCTTACTAAGCCTAAGCCTACTAGGCCTAAGCCTACTAAGCCTACTAAGCCTACTAAGACTAAGCCTAAATCCTAAGCCTACTAATCCTAAGCCTACTAAGCCTAGGCCTACTAAGCCTAAGCCTACTAATCCTAAGCCCACTAAGCCTAACCTTACTAAGCCTAAGGCTACTAAGCCTAAGCGCACTAAGCCTAAGCCTACTAAGCCTAAGCCTACTAAGCCTAAGCCTACTAATCCTAAGCCTACTAAGCCTGAGCCCACTAAGCCTAAGCCCACTAAGCCTAACTTTACTAAGCCTAAGCCTACTAAGCCTAAGCGCACTAAGCCTAAGCCTACTAAGCCTAAGCCTATTAATCTATTTTTCAGATAATTTTCAAATGCTGGGCCACAAACAAGACCGACCGGCCAAGCCTGAAAGAAATGAAGATTCAGTTAAGGACAGCGGTCGAAAAACTAGAGTCAAGATGAGAATCGACCGATGGCATATTTTTGTCGTACTGACTGTAATTTTGTATAATTTTAAATAAATTACTAAATTTACAAAGACATCTGTTTAGAAATGGAATCTTTATTACTATTTTTGAGGTTATCGACCTGTTATCGACTGGAAAGAAAGTTGTTGCGGTTTTTGGAATTTCGACTGAATTTTGAAGTTTTTGGGACAATATGGGTTTAGAATGTCATAAAATTGTCGTAAATATTGATTTTGACTTGTTTTAGGCTTATTTTGGCTGTTATCGACTGGAAAGAAAGTTATTGCGGTTTTTTGAAATTTCGACTAATTTTAAAATTTTTTGTAATTTTATGACTAAAAAAGACTTAAAAATGACAAAATTGTACCCAAAAAATATTTTTTTTGTTTTTTCATTTTGAAAAATTAGCATAAATTCGAAAAATCGCGAAAATTTTCGAAATTTCGGCTAAAAAACGTCATTTCTTCTCGAAAAAAAGTCATTTTCAATTAAAAAAATTAAATTTTTTGTCATTTTCAAATTGAAAATCCATTTTTCTGTCATTTTACTCAATTTCAAACTTCAAATTAGCGGTTTTTATGAGCGGTGACGCATTCAAAATGGCATCAAAGCCAGATTCTTCAAGCTCTGGCGTCGAACCCCAACTGAACCCACTGCCATTTTTTATCAATTACTACGTCAAAAGCCAACCGGATCGTGGAAAGGAAGGCTATAGGCCTTGGGTATGGCTTTTACTGACTTATTTTTTAATTTTTTGAAATTTGGTGTTATATACAATAAGTTTTGGCAGGTTTTTGAAGTTGAAATCTAGATTTTTGGCTAATTTTTGGGGTTTTTTAGCTTTAATGCCATTTTTCATAGTGATGTAGGACTGAAAATTTTTTTTGTTTGGGTATGAAAAAGAAATGTCTTATCTCTATTTCACTCAAATTTCAAATTTTTTCATTGGCTATGTCATTTACTTTTGACTGATTTTTTGGGCTGAGCTTCTAAATTCTCGAAGATTTTTTGGCTTTTTGTAGTTACTGCCATTTTTCATAGTTAAATGGCAGTAACTACATGAGATTGAATTGAAATTTAAAATTTTTTGCTTGGATATGAAAAAGCAATGTTTTTTCTCTATTTTATCTAAATTTCAAGTTTCTTTGACTGCTTTGTTACCTATTTTTCAATTACTTTCTATCTTTTATGCTTTTTTGAAAAATTTGTTGTTTTTTCGAACCTATGCCATTCTTTATCCGACATAGGGCTAAAATCTAAAAATTTTTTTTTGAATTTGAAAAAGCTATGGTTTTTCTCTGTCATACCTGAATTTCGAATTGTTTCATTACCTGTATTACCTTTTTTCGGTTAATTTCCAATACCTGGGCTCTGAAATTATTTGGGATTTTCAGGACTTTTTTAACTTTAATGCCATTTTTAATGTAGCATATGGTGTAATATCTTTAATTTTAGTATTTTATATGAAAAAGCAGTCCTTTTTGTACATTTCACTAGAATTTCAAGTATTTTAGTTAGCTATGGCATATATTTTTTTAGCTGGTTTCCAAGGTCTATGCTTTTTGATTTTAGAAATTTTTGGGGCTTTTTTAGGTTTAATGCCATTTTTAATGTAATATATGGCCAAAAATCTTAAATTATTAAATTAGATATGAAATAGCAATCTTTTTCTACATTATACCTAAATTTCAATTTTTAAAATTGGCTATGTCATATATTTTTCAAATGATTTCTAACACCCCTAGGCTCCTTGAAATTTTTTGAAATTTTTGAACTTTTTTAACTTTAATGCCATTTTTAATGTAGTATATAGTATAATATCTTGAATTTTTAAATTTTATATGAAAGACGAGTCTTTTACCTACCCTTTGCCTAAATTTCAATTTTTAAAATTGGCTATGTCATACATTTTTCAGCTAATTTCCAAAGCCTATGCCCTTTCATTCGCCGAGTCCGAAGCTTCTTCTCTCTTCATTCGGCTTCATTCCAAGGACTTTACTCTGTCAAATGGCTTCAATCGACTCAATGTAATCAACTTTTCATCTGCATATGGTCGATTGTCATCATTCTTGTCATTCTTATCACCACGCCAAAACATTGAACTCGCGTTTGATGGGTTTGAAATGGATTTGAAAACAGCGGAAGAGGTTGGAAGAGGCTTGAAAGGTAAGTTTTTTGAAGATTTGTTTTCGTTGGGGCTGGGCAAGGAAACATTTTTTGGGCAGAGTAAAATTTTGGGTAGGAAACATTTTTTTAGGCAGTGTACGAATTTTTAAGCTAGAAAAAGTTGCTTAGACAAGGGTAAAATTTTTTGGGCGGGGTGTAATATTGGGCAGATTAAACATTTTAGGGCAGGGTAAAACATTTTGGTCTGGGAAAAAATTTTTGGGCATGGTAAAATTTTGGGCGAGGTAAAAATTTTTGGGCGGCGTAAAAACATTTTGGGCAAGGTAAAATGTTGGGCAGGGTAAAAAAATGTGGGTAGGGTAAAAATTTTAGAGCAAGATAAAAAGTTTAGAGCAGGTAAAATTTTTTGGGCGGGGTAAAAACATTTTGGGCGGGGTAAAAACATTTTGAGCAGGGTATAATTTTTTTTTGGGCGGGGTAAAATTTCTTAGGCAGGGTAAAATTTTTTGGGCAGGGTAAAGTTTTGGGTAAGGTAAAAAATTTTTGATAAAAAAAATTTGGGAAGGGTAAAAATTGTGGGCAGGGTATAAATTTTTGGGGGGGGGAGGGTAAAATTTCTTGGGCAGGGTATAATTTTTTGGGCGGGGTAAAATTTCTTGGGCAGGGTATAATTTCTGGGCAGGGTAGAACATAATGTTACCTAAACTTGCCATTTTTCAGAGTTTTTCTCGGCCGTTCCGGTCGAAAAGTTTATTCATTTGACAATCAATGAACCTGATGAAAAAGCCTTCGAAATGGCTGATAAGGTTGTGGCCAAGCTCTTCGATGGGCTTAGAGGCAGTGACAAGTTCAGTCTGGACATAACTTGCTCAAGTTTGTTCGTCGATCACCTCGGTGAGGTTCGAATGGGACGATTGAAGGTCACGGATTATGTTGAGGATGTTAACTATGTGGCAATGTTTCAGAACATGAAGGCGAGGGTAGTTAGTATTCCAATGGTACCATTCGATGTCCTGAGGGATGTTTGTATCAAGCCAAACGAGCACTTGAAGGAGCTGGTACTGCTGATGACCACAGGGCATGACAAGCCCTACTACGACGAATACTTTCAGAAGATCTCACTGGCCTTCCCTTATCTCTGCGAATTCCGATTGGAGGCTCTGTTCAACACGGTTGAGGTAGGGTAGGGTGGGGCAAGATCATGGTGAGATAGGGAATGACATGTGACATATAAGGTGAGGCTCCTGTACGTTAGAGTAGAGTAGGGCAGACAGGGCAGGGTACGAAAATTTTAAGCAAGGTAAAATATTGGGTATGGCAAAATCTCGGGCAGGGTAATTTTGTTTGCAGGATAAAAATTTTGGGCAGGGAAAAATATTTTGGGCATCTTAAAATGTTTGGGCGGGGTAAAATTTCTGGGCATGGTAAAATTTTTGGGCGGGGTAAAATTTTAGGCGGGGTAAAAATTTTGGGCAGGGTAAAATATTAGGCGTGGTAAAATGTTTGGGCAGGGTAAAAATATTGGGCGGGGTAAAATTTTGGGCAGGGTAAAATATTAGGCATCTTAAAATGTTTGGGCGGGGTAAAATTTCTGGGCATGGTAAAATTTTTGGGCGGGGTAAAATTTTAGGCGGGGTAAAAAATTTTGGGCAGGGTAAAAATATTGGGCGGGGTAAATTTTTTTGGGGTTGATATTTTGGGTAATGCTCCTGGTGGGTAGGATAAAAATTTTTTTTAAAATGTAAAATACGAGAGATTGCATGATTTATATTTTAGAAGAAGAATCAACTCGAGTTTCTGGACGAAATGGGCGCAGACTGCGAAATTATGGCGGACATTGAGATGCCATTCCGTATTATGGGGACCTTTAGACTGTTCTACAGTGATGTTACGGTAGGTTATTTTTGTAAAATACGTCTTTTTGGTTAATTGTGAAAAATTTTAAAATTTCTGTAAAACGTGTCATCTTTCCTTAAAAATATGTCATCATGACCGATTTTTAAAATTAATTTTTTTTGTAAAATACGGGTTGTGTTCTATTTTTTTTAATTTTTAAATATTTACATGAGACATGTCATCTTTTCTAAAAAACACGTCATCTCTTCCAAAAAATATGTCATCATGACGGATTTTTTAAATTGTAAATTTTTTTTGTAAAATACGGATCTGTGTTCTAATTTTTTAATTTTTATATATTTATATAAAAAATGTCATCATTTTCAAAAAACATGTCATCCTTTCCAAAAATATGTCATCATGACGCATTTTTAAAAGACTTTCATTTCCAGGACTGCCAAAACTACCACGCCATGGAGAAGCACGGTTTCGGGAGACGTCGCAACGGCCGCAACAACTTTATGATTTGCACCGGCACCAACGTGTTCAAGGTTAACATGTACGATATGTCGCAGTAATGACACTTTATGTGATATATTTATATAGTAATAGAGTATATATGGGATGAATATTTATTTTTTTATTTTTTATTGTGTTGGGCATGGCAATTAAGTTTTTGGCCGTTTTGAGTTGAAAAAATTAGTTTGAACGGAATGCCAAATTTGGCGAAAAATTCAAAATTTGAATTTTCAAAGCGTTGTAACTTGGTTAAACCAAAAGATTTTGATTTTAAATTTTAGGGTATCTTTACAAATGACATTATCTAGGTTTTTGCCAAGTTTTATGAATTTTGGCAAAGGCGAAATTTTATACAAAAAATTTTTTAAATTGTCATAACTTGGTGATATGAGAATTTTATGATTCGAAATTTATAGGTGTGGTTTGGAATATGTTTTGGCATGTTTATGCCAAGTTTTAGCAAATTCGGTTAAGAGAGACACGTTATACGATGATTTTTAGTTTTGTGACATTTCGTGACATAACTTTTTTTAAATAGTATATTGGCGACAGAAATTCATTAGTAGTGTTTTAAATGACATGTTTTACCACCAGGTTCATTTTCACCACATTTGAAATTATTATCATAAAGATATGACATTTTTAAAATTTATAGAATTTTCAAAAAATGCCATTTTTAATTAAAACATTTATTAAAACTGCCAAAACAAGTTGAGATCTACCATTTGTGACGTATTTCGCCTAAGCTTTGACGAAAATGAGTGATTTGTGCCAGTTTATTCCATTCCTGGTCGAGAGCGCAGTTTGCAATTAGTGGGCGCATACGTTCAATTGTCTCGCGGAGGTCGGCGAACTAAAAATGTTTGTTGTAAAGAAAGTTCTTGCCATTTTTGTTTTTTAAAGAAAGTTCTTGCCATTTTTTGTTTTGTAAAGAAAGTTCTTGTCATTTTTTTCCAAAACAGGCAATTTTGAAACCTGCAGCCTGTGAGTGACATGTTATACGATGGAAATTGAAATTATGTCTTGCTTTGTAAGGAAAGTTCTTGCACTAACCTTGTACTGATTGTCCAAAAATGCCAATCCTAGCTGTAAGTCCAGCTCTTCAAAGGCGTAGTCCATTGTCTGATTTAGTCTAGCTGGGCAGCGGACTGCCCCAAATTTGTAAATCCATTGCTGAACGTCAACTTCGGATACTGTATTTTCAACGTTCTCTAGAACGTCCGAATGTTCCTCTAACGTGGGCGTGGCTTTGAAGGATTTTCTTACGATGTCTAACCCTCCCAAGACTAGAAAGCCGGCCAGGAGGGTTAATATAAAGAAGAGAAAAACGATTGGGCGGAGGTCTGAAAAGAGAAAATGCCATTTTTATTTGATACCCTACCCTACCCCACCCTACCCTACCCTACCCTACCCCCACCCTACCCTACCCTACCCTACCCTACCCTACCCTACCCTACCCTACCCTACCCTACCCTACCCTACCCTACCCCCACCCTACCCTACCCTACCCTACCCTACCCTACCCTACCCTACCTTACCCTACCCTACCCTACCCTACCCTACCCTAGTCTACCCTACCCTACCCTATCCTACCCTACTCTACCCTACCCTACCCTACCCTACCCTACCCTACCCTACCCTACCCTACCCTACCCTACCCTACCCTACCCTACCCTACCTTACCCTACCCTATCCTACCCTACACAAAATCTTGCCCTGCCCAAAACCTTACCCTCCCCAAAATCATACCCTGCCCGGAATCTTACCTTGCCCTAAACCTTATCTTGCTCAAAATCTTGCCCTGTTTAAAACCTTACCCCGCCCAAAATGTTACCCTGTCCAACATCATACCCTGCCCAAAATCTTGCCCTGCTTAAAATATTGCTTTGCCCAAATTTTTACACAGCATAAAATTTTACCCTGCCCAAACCCTAAACCTTCAAATCATAAGAAAACCCCTTCAAAATATAAAAACCACCCTTACCAACTCCATTACTGTAAACAGGTAGATTGTCTTGTTGTCGTTGGCTCATTGATAAGTAAATATTTTCTCGAAAAGCGACTAAACAGCTAGCGACAGATCTAGCGATAAGGGAAGGGGAAGGTCAGCGGGTCGATTTTGGCGCAAATCCTCGTTCGAATCCGACCGGGAATGATCGGATGACGAAGTGAAGAACAGGTAACCCAGTTAAGTAGGGATAGGTAATACTAATCATTGTCATCATTACTTATTTTTCGTGTCATCATGACATGATTTATATTATTGTAAATGATTTTTTGCTTTATGGCCTATGTTTCACTCAAAATTGGTTATACTAACATATTTATAGTGTCATGGTGATATATTTCTAGTGTCATGATGACAGATTATTTTGATCATGATGACATATTATTTTAGTTGTGATGACATCTTTCTTATAATTTATAATGACAATAACTTGTTATTTGGTTTATGTTTCACTGAAAACAAGTCGTATTGACATATTTTTTGTGTCATGATGACATATTTTACCCGTCATGATGAAATACTGTTCCCGTCGTGATGACGGGCTAAAAATTAATGCAAATGCGACAAATGTCATTACTAGCACCCAGTAAAAAATAGAGTTTGAAATTATCAGTTATAATTGAGGTATGACACATTAAAATTTGAAAATTTAGTCATTTTTGGCATACTGTTTCATGCTAATTTTGAAGTCATAAAGAAACAAAAATTAGCAATACATTAAATGCAGAACAGTGTTTTATCCTGCCACATCAAATTTAGCCAAAAAATCAGCTTTGAACAGAATGCCAAAAAACCCGCGGTTTTCAAAATTCAAATTTTCCTTGTCATTTTTGGACTGTTTAACCTAATTTCTGAAGAATTCTTCAAGCCTAAAACAATATCTAAGATCAAAAAATGTAAAAACGCAACAAAAATTACCTGTTCAAGTCATAAAAATTTATTATATTACTCATCCTGATCGCTAAAGTTGAAGTCGCGCGAGCCGGTGTCGGTGAAAAACTTGAATCTGAGGGGTGAGGAAAGGAAGTGGGTTTGAAGTGCATTCTGAATCTGAGCAAAGAACGGTTGAGGACGCCACATCATGGAAGGTGTGGGCGAGTGAGAGGCCTGAATTAGGTATACATTGATATACATAGCCTACTACAACATCGTTTTTATCGAAAAAGTAATATATGAAATTAAAATATATTTTAAGTTATTGTAAAGCAGTCATATTGTGAGCTACTTCTTAAGTTTTATACAGTCCCATTAGCTTGTTTTGAAACTACTGCTATTTTATGTTGATCCACCTATCACCTACTACAATATCGAATTTATCAAAAACTAACAAACCAAAGGTAACGATATATAACACCAAGGTAACATGACAAAATAAGCTCAAATTAAAAATTTAAGACAGATCCATTAATTTTTTACCAAGTTATACATATTTTGCTATATTATCCACCCCAAAACCTAAAACAATATAGCGCTACTTAAAAACTATCAAACTAAAATAAAATATTTTTTAACACAACAAAATCCATTCTATTATCAACCTAAATTTAAAAATTCAGCCAAATCCATTAATTCCCCCCTTAGCTACATCGATTTTACTATGTTATCCTACCTGTTCAACAGCCATATTAACAGCGAGAGAGTCTTCTTCTTGATCAAACTGTGGATTCTCCAACGAATCTCTAGTTTTAGTCCTAAATCTTAATGTCTTCGACATTGTAGCCAATCCAGCATTGTGTTCGGCAGTTACTGCGCAAATATACCGGGTTTCAGGCAGTAATTCGGAGAAAGTAAAGCGTTTCACTTTGCCGATTCGATACCTTGTCCATTGAGTTGTTGGAGGCATTGGATCTTTTGTGAACATCACTACATAGCTCTGAAATTATGTAGAACTATTTTTTAACCACTAACTTCGTATTTTACATTTCTACTGTTTAAAAACCCCGCCCCACATTTCGCAGCCTGCAGCTCCTTTTCTTTCCCTCTTCCCAAACTGCGCCCATATTATGTTAGCGGAATCTTTTTCAAACGAAAAAGCGCGAAAACTCCTTCGATATTCGAATACGTAAGAGGAAGTTAATGTGAAATGGGGACAAATTCAATACGAAATGAATCAAATGCCATGTATACGAGATGGAAGCTGGACGGGACTGTTTGGGATGAAGAAGAATATATGGATGTAGACGATATTATCGCTTCGCAAGCGAATGTTCAATGCCTTTTAAGACCTCAAATTGCTAAAGGTATGTTTTTTGATATTATTTTTGCGCTTTTAGGTTGGTTTTCGAGGAAAATGAGGAGGTTGTCGTATTATTTATGATATCTGTATAGTGTAAGATAGTTTTTGATGTTTTGAAGTTCTTGATTATAAAATTAATCTGGAAAGTGTTTCAAAAGTTACAAAAGTTCATAGAGAAGCTTCCTGTGAATTTTGGCATATACAAATTTACTATTTGTGAAGTTATAGCCAATTTTATATTATCTATGATACCTATTTCGAGTAATATGTTTTTTGATCTTTTATTGCCTATAGTTAGGTAAAACAGCTATTTTAAAAGATGAAGAAGGTGCTAATAAATATAATAAGTACATTTACTTAATAAGAAAATAAGTGTTCGATCAGTTTCAAAGGGATTTTATATTACATACCATATCTGTCTAGTATAACATAATTTTTTAATCCTATTTCTACTTAACCCTTTTTCAAATGTATTCTTAATGATGTAGAATAATATACTAAACCCTAAAAACAATTTCAGAAGTCCTCCCCTACGCTCAACTCCATTCATCGACCACAATTCCACCTCGAGGTATCAAGGGTAATATTGGTGTTTGGCTGTTGAAGAACCTAATGTACGGCGAGTTGATAGTCCCATCTACGTACACGTCGGCAGCACGACAAATTCTTCATGCTGGGGCGTGGGTATTAAATTTCGACACTGATAAGCGGTATTTCTACGAGTTGGGCATTAATTTAGCCGAAGTTTTGAACAATGATGACCGTTGTAAGCCCGGTAAGTTGATTAATTTTTGGTGTATTGTTTTGAAATTTAAGTAAAAGACAGCCAAGTCTGTGTTTAATGATTGGCATGAGACGGTCAAACGTATTTTACCTTCAAACGTTTTAAATTTTGTAAAATACGAATGTTGATCTTTTGATAGCATGGGTAATATAAAATCGCTATAACTTAGCCAATTCGACCAAGTTTTAAAAAATTACTACACAGTAGATTAACATGAACCTTCTCTATCTTTTAAAATGCGTTTTCGTCTGGGTTTGCATTCCACTTCATCGAAAATGATCTTACACTAGACAGGTTTCATGGATAATATAAAACTTGCTGTAACTTTATAAATCCTTCCAATTTATGACGTTTTACAACTCAGTATGAATCTTCTCTTTCTTATAAAACAATTTTCAGCCTGATTTCTAATTTAAATTCATTAAAAACGACCTTACACTACCTAAACCTCATGAATAACATAAATATTTCAGCGCAAGAGATGATAAAGATGTTGAGAGACACGTACATGGCTCGGCAAGGCAAGATCTACCCCCTAACTATCGATAAAGAAAGTAGGCCTACTAAAATGAGCCAGCTTGAGGCTAGACTCTTCTTCAAAGGACAATATTCCGAGGCTAGGATGAAAGAATGGTGGATTGGCGTGGCGAAAGAGAAGAGAACCACCAAAAAACGCTTCAAACGATAACCTATCTGTACATACATTTGCATTTTTACAATAAAAACCGGTCAGAAAGTGTTGGGATTTGGAAAAAAAGGGTTTTTGGACATTAACCATCATGGTTAATATAACTTTTGGTTGTTTTTGATGGAAAAACCGGTTTTTTTGGGTAAATTTTGAACTGGAAAGATGAAATAGAATGTCTCGAAGGAAACCTACCTCTTGTGACTTGTTTTTCCTCGGTGCTCTCCATGATATCGTAGCTTTTTCAGCTCCAATCGCATCTAATTTTAGTGATTGTGGCACGGTGCAAGGTTCTGAAAAACACTTTTTTCAGTTATTTGTGACAACCTTTTTTGTTTTTTTGGTACAATACGTAATTTATGCTTCAACTTGAAAATGGTTTTTTAAAAAAAGTCATAAAGTGGTACCAAATGTCAAAAATGTACCAAAAATAGGTATTGTTACATGAAAAACGACCATAAAACTGTACCAAAATTTAAAAAAGTATTTATAAATGAAAAAAGAATTTTTAAAAGTACCAAAAAATGGTACTAAATTTTTAAAAAGTACCAAAAAGTAGTGCAAAACACACACTTGGTACCTAAAGATTTAAAAAGTACCAAAAATAGTCCTACATTTCAAAAAGTACCTAAAAATGGTTTTAAGTTTCAAAAAAGTTTCATAAAGTAGTGCTAAATTAAAAAAAGTACTAAAAAGTAGTACCAATTTCCAAAAAACTACCACTAGTACCAGACGCAAAAAAAGACATAGATTTGATACCATTTTTCAAATTTAGTACCATTTTGCAGGCTTAGCACCATTTTTCAAATTTAGTACCATTTTTCAAATTTAGTACCATTTTGCAAATTTAGTACCATTTTTCAAATTTAGTACCATTTTGCAAATTTAGTACCATTTTGCAAGCATAGTAAGTACCATTTTTCAAATTTAGTACCATTTTGCAGGCTTAGCACCATTTTTCAAATTTAGTACCATTTTTCAAATTTAGTACCATTTTGCAAATTTAGTACCATTTTTCAAATTTAGTACCATTTTTCAAATTTAGTACCATTTTTCAAATTTAGTACCATTTTGCAAATTTAGTACCATTTTGCAAGCATAGTAAGTACCATTTTTCAAATTTAGTACCATATTGCAACTTTAGTACAAGTTTAGTACCGGTTTACAATTTTAGTACCATTTTGCAAGTTTAGTACCATTTTCTAAACTGCACTGCACCAAAACGACCATAAAACCCAAAGACTTACCGGTATATTCCTGACACTTGACCGCCTTACTACTGCCATACCTTGTAGTAGTGGCCACGGAGAACTCGTAGAGCGTGAAGCTCTTCAAATCCGTGATCTCATAGTAGGTCTGGTTCACAAAATCAATCACGGTCGCATTCGGTCTTCGCTGAGGTGTCCTGGTCTTGTAAGACAAGGTGTACCAGTACCGTTTCGCCTCCTCCACCATGACTGGTGCATCCCAGCGGAGGAGGATGGATTCGGCGGTCGGATTCGAGACCTTGAGGTTGGTGGGCGCGGGCGGAGGCTCGGGGAAGATTGAATTTCGAAAATGAGTTGATGGTTCGCCCGTGATCTCGGTCAGCTTAGTAATGGCTAGCTCCGGGTCGTCGGTCGAGATTTGCTTGTGGAATGAGGCGGCTTAAGATCAAAGGTTTAGGTTTAGATAAGAATTTAGAAAAAAAAATAAATTTTAGGTAAAAATTTGTAAAAAAGGTTAAAGAACAGGCTTAAGACCAGCTTTGTATGCCTAAATATGAATTAAGCATACCAATTCTAGGCTTAGTAATCCCAAATAAACAAATAAGTTATTGTTTAGGCTTAGCTTTAGGCTTAGCTTTAAGCTTAGTTTTAGGCTTAGATTTAGGCTAAGCTTTAGACTTAGCTTAAGCTTAACTTTAGGCTTAGCTTTAGGCTTAGCTTAGCTTTAGGCTTAGATTTAGGCTTAACTTATCTTAGGCTAAGCTTAGGCTCAATTTAGGCTTAGGCATAGCTTAGCTTAGGTTTATCTTAAATTTAGCTTAGACTTGGCGTAGGCTTAGCTTTAGGCTTAGCTTTAGGCTTAGCTTAGCTTTAGGCTTAGATTTAGGCTTAGCTTAGGCTTAGCTTTCAGCTTAGATTTAGGCTTAGCTTAGGCTTAGCTTTAGGCTTAGATTTAGGCTTAGCTTAGCTTTAGGCTTAGCTTAGGCTTAGCTTAGGCTCAGCTTAGGCTCAGCTTAGGCTTAGCTTTAGGCTTAGCTTAAGCTTACTCTACCCCACTCTACTATTCCTTATCCTGCAATGCCCTACTCTACATTACTTCACCCTGCTTTACTCTACCCTAGCATAATTTGCTCTAACCTACCCAGCCTACCCTACCCTGCAATACGCTACCCTAATTTACGAATCACTTACCTACACTACCATAAATTAACCTAGATAACCCTCTCCACCTATCTACAGCAGTGTTTTGCCGGACCCGTCCGGTCCGGACCGAAAAAAAAGTTCCGGACCGGACCGGAAAAAAATTTTTTTTTTAATTTTAATAAAACTGTTTTAAAAATTGCAAATAAAACATATTTTTAAGAGTTTTTAAACGTAAAGAAAGCAGTTTTAGCGGACCGGACCAAAAAAATTCTCATCCGGACCAGTCCGGCAAAACACTGATCTACAGTACCCAACCCAAACTCGACTTACGATCAAAATGAAGTCGATTCAAGGCAGCTACAGTCTCGAACAGCTTCCTCATGGCCTCCCTCTTCATGGCGTTGATTCTCTTTTGTTGTACGATCTTCAACCACAGTAAAGGGTCTTCTACATCAATCCTTCTGCCAAAGAAGTGTAGTTGATCAATATAATAAGCACCCACTATATCAATACACGTCGTGGTGATGATAAGCCCGAGTATGATAATAAACAGTATCAGTAGTACGTGCCGATCCTTGGATGGTACCACGTCGCCGAAACCTATGGTTAGTACTGACATCATGACAAAGTAGAAGCCCTTCTGAGTCGACCAGTTTTCCAGATGCGCTATCAAGTACGAGGCGGCGGTAATGTAGGACAGGAGGATGATGTAGATGAGTACGAAGGGTATCTCCACGAACTGAGTGTTCTCAAGGTGGGTCCACAGGAACTCGGCTACCTCGTCTTCGCCTCCGGCTATTATTACTCGCTCAATGTCGAAGCTTTCACTTTCGTCCGAGCCCTTAAATTAAATTTTAAAAGTTTGCCCATGCCCATCAAAAAATCTATATTAGGGTTGTTCAAATAATTCGGTGCTCCTTAACACCGAAAATTTGCTTTAAAAAGAAGCTCATAATTATTTGAACTAACTAATATTACAGATTTCAAAAGATTGTAAATTGCAAAAAAAATTATCGACCGGTCGATTTTTAAAAATTTTTAAATTTTGATTTTTTTAGATGCAAAAAGAATGCCATACACCTACCCAACCTTACTTTTTAGGTTTCGAAAAAAATTATCGACCAGTCGATTTTCAAAAAAAAATTATTGTTTGGCTTGATGCTGAAAGAATAACATAGTCATACCCTGCCTTTACCCCCATTCCAAATTTTTACCACTCCAAAAATTTTACCCTGCCCAACCTTTTTATCCTGCCCAAACTTTTTAAAATGCGTAAACTTTTTTGCCCTGCCCAATCTTTTATACCCTGCCCAAACTTTTTACCTTATCCAAAACTTTTTTACCCTGCCCAGTCTTTTTTACCCCTCCCAAAATTTTTACTTCGCCTAAACTTTTACCCTGCCAAACGTTTACCATGTCCAAACTTTTTTCACCCCGCCAAAAATTTCTAAAACCCACCTTGCTAGGCATGTCCTTATTCTCTCTTCTCCTTCTCCATCGACTGAACTTGGTCTGAACCGAGTGTTTGACCTTGAGGTACTCAGTGTAAGATCGATTCATGCCTTCCGTACAAAACTTGGCCAGGTCTGCCAACGTTATTAAGTAGAGGGGGATGCCGAAGAGGATGTAGATGATACAGAATAATCGACCGACCAATGAGTCCGGAGCATTGGCACCATATCCAATTGAGGTTAGGGTGGTTGTCACGAAGAAGAGGTTCCATGTCACATTGGTTAGTGGCCCTGAAGGGTTATAGTACTAGAAGGTAAAATATAGCCCTAAAAGATAATATAGAGTCTTGTGTTAACTTTAAAAACAAATTTTGATAAGAATGTCAATGAAAAATGGCAGTAATCAACCATTTTTTCCTAAAAAGTACCCTCAAAACCCAGTTTTCCAATCAAAAGCCTTAGGTTTTTTAAATTTTTAAAAATTTTGAAAAGAAAAAAGTAATGGCAATCATTATAAAATGAAACACCTGAATCTTACAAACATATAAAATAAAATTTGACATCAACATCACTTGAAATTGGGCAATAATCGACCATTTTCTTCGATAAATACCCCCCAAAACCCAGTTTTCCAAGCAAAAGCCTTACAATTTTTGAATTTTTTAAAATTTTGAAAAGAGTAAAGTAATGGCAATCATCATAAAATAAAATAATATAATCTTGAGCACATATAAAACAAAATTTGAGATCAAAATCAGTTTAACTTTGGCATTAATCGACTGTTTTCTTCAAAAAATCAGACCAAAAGTCGACTTTTGGTTTTTTTTTCATTAAAAATGGCCGTTTTTCCATGAAATTTATAAAGTGATACAGTAACAAAGCTATGTAAGATAGGTTTACAATCATTTTCTGTTTTTTAACATCAACTTCGACTGTTTTAGCACACCAAAAACATCAAAAACTAAACAAAATTTGAAGTATTCCACACTTTTTTATAAAATCACCCATTTTTATCTAAAATAACAGCGTTAACTACATAAAAAAATATTGTAAAATACGACTTAATTTTTGTCTTGTCAATAAAAAATAAACTTTAACCATTTCTCACACCGAAAACATCAAAAAACAAGCAAAAAAGCAAGCTGCCCACGACCGGAATCGAACCGATGTCGCCACGGCCACAACGTGGAGTACTAACCACTATACTACGTGGGCCGGAAGCTCCATCGCTTCGTTTCTCTCTTGTTTCAATGGAAAATGACCTTGGTTATATTAACCATGGTTAAATTGATTAAAAAAAAGAGGTCGTTAGATATTAAAATGAAGCTACAATACGTTTTATTAAACAAAAAAGGGATAATTTAACCTTTTAACGCTAAAAATTGAAAAACAGGTCAGTTTTGCCCTCAAAAATATTTTAGGTATAACCTACCCTTGATAATTGTGCTGTTATCAATCCTAGCCGTCTCCAAAATAGCTGTAGATCTTGGAAATCTCGAGTAGACATTGTACATCTTACTAGCAAAAGATGTAAACGATTTATCCATGTCTTTGTTGAAGCTGTCATAGCTGTTTTGATTCAAACCTGACTTGATATTCAACAGAAACTCTTCCTTTGTGCTGAAAATGTTAAAAATTTCAAAAATGCAAACCCATTTTCTACTAGACCTTTGTGGGCAAGGAAAGTCTTGAACAGGATAAGATTTTAAATGATTTTGGGCAGGGTAATAATTTTGAGAAAAGTAAAACTTTCATTCAGAAAAAAAATTTTGAGCGTGGTAAAAACTTTGGGCAGGACAAAACTTGGTCAGGGTAATAATCTTGTGCAGAGTAAAACTTAAATTCAAAAAAAAAAGTTGGGCGTGTTAAAAATTTTGGGCAGGGTAAAACTTGGCCGGGATAAGAATATTAGTCAGGGTAAACTTTACGGGCAGGGAGAATAATTTTTAGGCTGAGTAAAATTTGCAAGCAGTACACGCTTTTTATCAAGGTTTAATTTTGGGCAGGGTAAAATTTTTTAGGAAGGTACAATTTTTGAGCGGGGTAAAATTTTTGGGCTGGGTACAATTTGGGGTAAAGCAGAATTTTAGAAAAGTTAAAATGTTTTGGGTAAGGCAAAGATTTAGGGCAGGGTAGAAATTTTAAGCAGGGTATAGGTAGGGCTAAAGCTAGGACTCGAGCTCGGTCTAGGGCTCTGAGCTAGGGCTCTGCGCTAGGGCTCTGGGCTAGGGCTCTGGGCTAGGGCTCTGGGCTAGGGCTCTGGCTAGGGCTCTGGGCTAGGGCTAAGGCCCGAATTACAAAAAAAGTTACAGTAACTTACTCAGTGATCAAATCCATTGCTTCTACCGAGTCAGCATTATAATTAATGGCAGTCAGAATCCAACACCCAGCCAAGGCATAGCCAATTGAGACCAGTAAAAGTGAAATGTGAGGTAGGGTAATTCTTAAAACTAATTGTTTGGTCAGTCCAAATTGACCTGGGGTAATGTCAGTGAATTGGTAAAGGCCATTCGGAGTTGTAGCGGCCGTAACGTGTGGCGACAACGTTGCTGGGGTTTGGCGGCCGCTGGCTATAAATAACGTTTATTAAACATAAGCCGGTCGAGAAAAATAGTTTTTTAATATCGACCGGTCGATAACTCAAAAAATTATTTTAAAATTCTGTTTTTATTACATATTTTTTAAACACTTCATTCTTTTTGCATCAAAAAACTTTTTTTTGTAAAATTTGAAAAATCGACCGGTCGATAATTTTTATGAGCGGAAATTTTTTTATAACATATTTTTTGATCACGCCATTCTTTTGGCATCAAAGAAAAGATGAACTTTAGAATGAAATTCGAATTTAAAAAAATCGACCGGTCGATAATTAATAATTAAAAAAAGTTTTAGTTTTATTTTCTGAAACACGCCATTCTTTTTGCATCAAGAAAAAACGTTAAATTGTACAAAAATCAAAATAAAAAAAAAATCGACCAGTCGATAATTTTTAAAAATAAAACACGGATTCAAGACGCCCCGTATTTTAAACTATCTAATTTCCCTATTATTTTACCCTACCCAAATTCCCTCGCATTTTAACCTACCCAACTTCTCGGCGGTACTCGACCAAGGCAGTAGCATGGTTTGGAATGGACGCGACCTGCTGACTCGAATCGGCAGGCTGCGTCCCAATCGTTGAGCGGAGTTCCCTTTCCTATGCCAATTGTCTGGTCGGTTGAAGAAAGCTGGTTGAAGGACACGGTATTTTCGACCAGATTTCCGGTTTTTGCGTTTTGGCGGTCGATAATTTTGTCGCTGCGACAAGTTCGAGTTCAATCGCTGGCAATTGAGCTCTTGGACTGGTGCTTGTCTTTTAGGCTTACTAGGCTTATTAGGCTTGTTGTGACGGTTGTTCTTGGTGAAAAAGTTGCTGGTTGAGTTTTTATTGCCGGTTACAAGTTGCTGTCGCTGGTTTATCAAGGGGCAATATTCAAAATTGTCATTATAACGGCCGAAGAACTCTAAAAATTTTGAATTAATAATTTTAACCATTTCCTTTGAACTCTTTACTAATTTTTCTTTAAAAATGTTAAAAAAACCCTAAATACCATTAAAAATTATATATATATATTATTACCTAAATTTTTATTTATTACCCAATTAAAACCAAAAAACCATCAATAACTAGTAAGAAACCAAAGCGAAAAGGGAGAGCGGTGAGAGAGAAAGAGAAAAGAAGGGAGCTCTCTTCTTTTCCGAGAGAGATCGCTTTGTGTTTTCGGGGAAACCCAACCAAAAGACAATTTTTGATTTTATATAAGACGGAGAGAGGTAATGCTTCTTTGACTTATCAAAGTCCAATAAAGGTTGGTACTTGATTCTGCTCATTCAAATGTGGCTGGAAATTAAAATTTTGGAATGCTCGATCCTTTGGGTTGGGCTGATAGAATTTTATAAAAATTGTTTTGCACACGTATTTACCCAAACAACGTTCATTTTAGGGTTAAAAATAGTCGTCATAAAAATTTATGTTACTACCCCAAAAAATTGAAAGGGGTCCCTTTTTTCCGAACCCTGTCTTCCTGAAACCATACTATTTTGCCCGTCGCTATCCAAAATAAATTTTCAAAAAACTTGAACATGGCCCCTTGCTATTATAATTGTTTTATTCGAAAAAATTTGGCAAATAAAAAAAATTTTGTCTGACTCTTTCCATCAGAATACCCCCTCTTTTTCCCGAATAATTTCAATTATCTACCCCTCCCCCCCCCCTCCCCCCCCCCAAAATCTTTCCCCCAAAATACTGCGTTTTTTAAGTCATGGTTGCCCTACCCGATGAAGACATTTGAAATTTAAAAAAATTTTAGTTTCCTTTCCCCTTCGACCACAAATTGTCAAAAGCAAAAATCTGACCACAATACCTCTTCTCATACCCCCCCCCCTTCATTCCCTACTTAACCCACTCACCCTAAGATACCGGTCTCTTCCATACCCAGAAATGCACCCCCAAAGTTCCTCTTTTTACCCAAAATTGCCCTTGCCTGGTGATTAGATATGACTGGTGTTTGACACAAAGCAGGGTACCCTGCACTAAGGCCTAGGTCACGGCAGTGCACGAAACTGAAAAGCTCTGTACCGGGCACACCATAACAAGACATGGTAGGGAAAAACGCCCTGCTCTGTATCCAAGACCGGTCATTTCTCATCATTACGATAGGACAACTTTAGTTTAAAAAGAGGTGGGGGGGGGGGCTTTAAAGTTTATGGATATGGAAAACACTGGCATTATTGCGAACAGGGGGGGGTGGGAAGAAATTACTTTTTTTAATTTTACGTATCATCAACAGGGTAAAAGTTCAAAAATTCAAAAATCCTACCAAACTGTGAATTCCCGTCGCAACTTCTGAGACAGTTCGATCTTCGCTCCCAAACTTCACCAAAACCCTCTGCAACGCCAGAACGACCAGTCGACTGATCAGAACGACAATTTTGGGCTAAATTCCGGGAATTGTCGCACTTTCCGCTCGATTCGAGAAGAAAAAAGTCGGAAGAGGGGATTCGGTGCGGGTCGGGCCTCACTCCGGGGAAATCAATCTCATTACGGCGGTGGGAGAGCCCTAAAGGTGCATCCGACCCGAAAATTTCATCAGACCCAAACCCCCTTTCCATGCCCTAGTTTGATAAGGGCGAGAGGGGTGAGTACCTGCACTTGTAGTTGTTGATAGCAAGCCTTAAAGGTTAAGGTGGTGTTTCAAGTTGTAAGCTTAGGTACCTGAAACCGCCACGACTAGAGCCAAATGACCCGTTAGTTGAAGGTTCTGAAAATGTTTGAAAATAAAAATGTAAAATCACAAAGTTAAGTCACGTTTTTAAACAATTTTGGGTGAGAGGGGAGGGGGAGAGGGGTGAAGTAAAATCTTTGCTTCATTAAAATCCGGAGGGCAAAAGCTTAGGTAGAAAGACTTTATAGTAAGCAAAGGCATGATTTCAGCTTCCCAAGCCTACGAATAGTAAGCCCGAACCTAATAAGCCTAGGCTTATTGAACATAACTTCACAAGAAATACGTTTAAGACTAAGCCTAATAGCCTCAGTCGACTAAGCCTAAGCCTACTAAGCCTACAAAGCCTAAGCCCACTAAGCCTAACCCTACTAATCCTAAGCCTACTAAGCCTAAGCCTACTAAGCCTAAGCCTACTAAGCATAAGCCTACTAAGCCTAAGCCTATTAAACCTAAGCCTTCTAAGCCTAAGCCTTCTAAGCCTAAGCCTTCTAAGCCTAAGCCTTCTAAGCCTAAGCCTTCTAAGCCTAAGCCTTCTAAGCCTAAGCCTTCTAAGCCTAAGCCTTCTAAGCCTAAGCCTTCTAAGCCTAAGCCTTCTAAGCCTAAGCCTTCTAAGCCTAAGTCTTCTAAGCCTAAGCCTTCTAAGCCTCTAAGCCTAAGCCTACAAAGCCTAAGCCTACTAATCCTAAGCCTGCTAAGCCTAAGCCTACACAGCCTAAGCCTACTAAGCCTAAGCCAAAACCTAAGCCTACTAAGCCTAAGCCAATTAATCCTAAGCCTACTAAGCCTAAGTCTACTAAGCATAAGCCTACTAAGCCTAAGCCTACTAAGCCTAAACCTAGTAAGCCTAAGCCTACTAAACCTAAGCCTACTAATCCTAAGCCTACTAATCCTAAGCCTAATAAGCCTAAGTCTACTAAGCATAAGCCTACTAAGCCTAAGCCTACTAAGCCTAAACCTACTAAGTCTAAGCCTACTAAACCTAAGCCTAGTAAGCCTAGGCCTACTAAGCCTACTAAACCTAAGCCTACTAAGCCTAAGCCTACTAAGTCTAAGTCTACTAAACCTAAGCCTACTAAGCCTAAGCCTAAACCTACTAAGCTCAAACCTTCTAAGCCTAATTGCAACAGGATCTTACTACAGTAAAAAAATGTCTAACCCCGATGCCAGCACCTTAAACAAATAAAAAAGATCAAAAAAAGAAACAAAGGAAAGCAGGCAAAAAAGAATGGCACGATGGCGGAAATGCGATTAACCAACCATTTGATGCCATTTTTTGGAGACATTCATTCCACTTTCGTAAATTCGGAAAATCTTCAAAATTCAATGACGACACAGTCATTTGTTTCTAAATTTAAATCACGTTTCAGAATCAAAAGGGTTCGTGCAAAGTTAATTGGTTTAGGTATCAAAAATGGAAATGGATCGTGATCTTGGGTTTTTATAGATTTTTCAAACTGAAACCGTACCTTACCCTACCCTACCCTACCCTGCCCTATCCTATCCTATCCTATCTTACCCTACCCTACCCTACCCTAGCTTACCATGCCTTGTCTGTCTCTACGTATCTTTGTTTACAATGATCTACCTTCCCATCCTTCCCTTCTATAGCTTGCCTTGCCCTATCATGCCCTACCAGTCCTTGTGTTACCTTTCCTTGCCATTCCCAAACCCCCCCCCCCGTGCCTAGACATAAAGAACAGGCCGGACCGGCCTTGACCCAAATTTAATCCGGGCCGAGCGTGAGCAAAATTAAGATCGAGCCGGGCTTAACATTCAGGCAGGGCCCGTTCCTCATGCCTAACCCTGCCTTGTCTTGCCCCGACACTACCTTCCCTGAAGTTTTATCCCGCCCAAACAATACCGAGTCTTTTTAAGACCCCCTCCTATATTCCCACTCAACCCTATACTCTTATTATCTTTTCTCTTTTTCTCTACCCTCTTTCTTCCGTCTCTTTTCTCTCACACTTTGAAATAACCCAATCGAAAGACAACTTTTGATTTTATATAAGAAAAAGAGAGATTTTTTTCTTTGACTTATTATAGTCCAATCAAGGTTGGTACTTTATTCAGCTCATGCAAATGTGGCTGGAGATTAAAAATTTTGGAATGCTTGATCTTTTTGGATTGAGCTAATATAAAAAGTGAAATATTTTAATCAAAAAAATTTTTTTAATTCTAAGACCTTCTGACCTATTAAAAATTTTAGAATGCTCAATCTTTTTTGGATTGAGCGGGCAACGTGAATTTTTCAAACTGTTTTCCATATTTTTTTTTCATATTGCATTTGGGGTTTTTTATTGCCCTATGGGCTCAATGAACCCAATTTTGGGTTAATGGTTTTTGGCCATTAAATTGGGCTAAAAATTGGGTTGGATTAAAGATCAAAGTACTTTTTGACAGTAAAAATCTTTTACTATGCTTATCTGCATCAACACTTTTTAAAACTTTTAAAAATTTAACTTTTTCACTAAAATAATCTGCACCGTGCAAAGTTTAAAAATTTTTTGAAATTCAAAAATTTTTTGACAGTTAAATTTATTTGTATTCCAAATCGACCCGTAAGCTATAATTTTACCAAATATGTCATAAAATTACGACATTTCAAAAAAAAATAAAAATGGTATCATTAGTACAAAAAAGAGTAACAGACGTACCAAAAACAATTCTTAAAGATATGGAAATAAACATTATACTATATATATCAATATTTTTGTATTACAACATACCAGTATGACAAAATATCACGTTAATCGGGCCTTGAAGGCCAAAGGCACAGGGAAATAGTGTTCAACACTATGAGTGAGGTTAGAGAAATAGAGGAAAATAATTAAAATTCACACTTTCTACCCCGAGGGTTTCGGTTTTTTAAGTAGCATGGTTGTAAATGATGGGCTTGATGACATGACTGGCAATTCTGCAGTCGATTTATTCCGTCTGTAGCAGAAAAAGTGTACTATGGCACCAGTTTGGGCGAAGCGGACAAAAGCACTTAAAAGTTTAATTTTTAAAACTTCCAAGCTCGAAATTTAATATTTTAGCATTACTAGTGTTTTTAAACCCTACTGAACATGTTTCACATAAAAACCTTACAAAATTTGAAAAAACAAGTTTTCGTGGCGGGACCCAAAACCAGCACCAAAAAAACAACTTTTGTTACAAAATCAACCCCACCCGCTCTCCCAACAACTTTCTAACCCATACCATCCTTATTTGCTCCACAATTCCCCAAAAACTAGCAAAACCAAGTTTTCGTGGTGATACCCACAAAACTTTCAAAAACTCACGTTGTGCCAATCTTTTTGCTGCAAAGTGAGCAATCCACATTGAAATCAATGTCGATTCGCTTTGATTGTAGTCTTCTGAGTTCAGACTGTGATTTGGCCTTGGCTAGGGACGAAATAGCAGACAAAATGGCCAAATGGCTGGATCTGTTCTTGGTGCTTTCGATGATGGCTTCTAGGGCTGACCAAACCTTCTTTAGTGACGAATCTCGTGGAATTAACTTTATTGCACTCACTGAAATCGAGATACTCATATAAAACAATAAAAATTTCCTTAAAACCATCAAAACATGGCGTAAAACCTAAAACAACAACCCTTTTCTACTACAATATCCAAAAAAACTCTAAAACTGCCATTTCTAACATCATTCTCAAAAAATAAGTATCCTAAATATCAAGTCAGAGACTTCAGAGCTCATTGCCTTACCTGTATCCATCTTGTCAGCTTGATTTCTGAGCAGTTTCAGCGCTTCATTCACGTTTGGCTTGATTTTCCTGGTGATATCGGTGCTTAAGTTAGCCAATTCCACCAAATCTGGCCTTGTGTAAATCTTGTACAAGATGAAGAATACCTTTAATTTGCTTTCATTTTATATTAATCACCTCTTTTAAAAATTGCAAAATAGAGCAGAAAAATAAGAAAAAATTGACCTAGGTTCATATTATTCATAACAATTTGGTCAAAAATTTAATTTTCTAAGGTTTGTGCTAGTTTGTAGTACTGCTGAATGCCATTTTTTAATACAAAATTGTATTGTTTTTCATAATATAAAAACCACATTTCCAAAAATTGTACTAATTTTAGTGAAAAATGGCAAAAAGTGACCTAGGTCCATATTATTCATGACAATGTAGTCAAAAATTTAATTTTTTAAAAAATTGTGCTAGTTTATATTACTGTTAACTGCTATTTTTAATACAAAATTGTATTGTCTTTCATAATATAACAACCAAATTTAAAAAATTGCATTAAGTTTAGTAAAAAATAGCGAAAACTTGGCCTATTTCTATATTATTCTTGCCGACTCCAAAACTTTGACATTTTACACCCCTTCCCCCTTCCCCCCCCAATCCCAAACCATTACGAAACCTACAGTCGAGTTGACAGAATCCCTTGGATCATAATTCCTTAAACAATAGACTTCGGCCGCTTTGAAATCCATTAAAACGTTCGTATATAGTACGAGAGCTTCTTCGTGTCTCTTCAATCGACCAAAAACGATTGCCTTTTCCTCAATCAAATGATTATCCAATAGTAGCATCGCTTTTTGAGCCGAATATAAGTAAGAGTTCGTTAGAAAGTCCAGTAGTTTCTTCCTGTAGACACCAAGATCGCCGTCTTCTAGACCTGCTCGGGTCACGTTTTCATCTACAACAACACTTTTAAAAAATAGTTTTAAAAAAAGAAAATAAGTCGTATTTTACCATAGCAATCAATTTTTATACAAAACAGATCCAATATATTCAATAAGCCCAAATTGCGTAAAACTTAAAATTTAAGTTTTAGTCCCACAACGAAAATATGAACTTCATAGTTTTAGCAAAACATTGGTAAAATACGTCCAAATAGATGCTGCCACGTTTAAAAATACCTTTTCTAACACAAGATACGGCAGTTATAAATAAGATTATATAACATGTAGGTCCCAACACGAAAACATGATGTTCCTAATTTAGCAAAATACTGGTAAAATACGCCAAAAGTAAAAAATAATTGTTTAACATAAGTAAGTTATGCTAGTTAAAACCAAAATTGAAAAAAGGGTCCCACCACGAAAACATTATATTTCCTTTTCAAACGTTAAAACCTTGAGTCATCCACATTGATGTTACAGAATAGCCTAAACATTTATACCTTACAAACTCACAATTTAAAGATCAACTTACTATCCCCCAATGTGTAGACATAATCCTTCATTAGCCATTTGACTTTGATAATGTAGTTTTCGAGCAGTGTATCATGAAACTTTGGGCGTTTTTCGCCGCATCGTTCGATTAGAAACTCCAAATATGGTATGATAGCGTCAATCTTCTCTTCCCTTAAGAATACCAGTACTTTTTCCGGGTCCCACTTGTCATGCTGTTCTGGTTGGTCTGGGCAGAAGACCTAAAAAGTAACTTGTTATGGCTAAAAATGGCTTATTATAGCCAAAAAAGAACAAATTAACCCTAAAATCCCTAAAAAAGAAATGCCAACTGTCCTAAATCAAAAATGTTACCTAAAAATGCCAACATTTAAAGAAAATCGCAAAAAATGGCCAAAATCTTAAGTTATACATGAATATACACATGACCTCCTCTTACCTTCAACCCCATGTTCATATCCTGATGAAGTAGCCATTTCGCAAACTCGAAAACTAGTTCAATATCTTCCTTTTTCAAATTCTGTAAGTATTCCACGGCTTCTTCCAGTCCGTACAAGTCGCTAGATTCATTTGAAGCTTCCTTCTTCAGTAGCTCCAAGGCTAAAACAATATTATGGTAAATTAGTCATAACTGACACATATTTAGAAATTTTTGAAAATGGTACTACACATTATTGATCCACACTCTTATCTACTTGAATATGCTAAAAGGTTCACCAATTTTCGCCCAAAACTATTGTTTTTACATCGAATTTATTACCCACCAGATAGCCTACTTTAATATCCAAATCTTGCCATAAAAATAAAACTAGTGACAACTTCCACAAATCCTTTTACAACAATATACACTATACTCTTAACTATCCAAAAATCATCCAATATATCCCCCCCCCCTAACAACACTTTTCCTTCTATTTATACTACCCACCGCTTCCTTACAAAAACTTCTCCAAACTCACCTTTTCGGTGTTTTCCCTTGCCCTTGTACAATAAATACAACTCGTTAGTCTTATTCCTTTCCAATAAATCTTTTTCAGCGTCTTCGAAGTCACATGCATTATCTTTAATCCTCAAAAGAGATGATATTAACATAGGTCGGGTTTTGATGTAGCACTTCAACAAAACCGTGTCCACGAGCTCCAAACCTTCTTTTGCTTTCTTCAATTCTTTCGTTGATAACTTGAAATCTTTGGATTTTGAATGACTATCCAATTTTCTGGCCAATTCCGTGCGCTTCTAAAAAATTATATTGTTTTAGATAATAACATAAACTTTTTTGTAAAAACAAGAGAAAATAATATATTAATATAACCTACCATGCTCAAAAAGTCTCCCAGTGCTATAATAGCTTGTTTTCTTTCATTTTCAGCCATATTTCCATTTGGTTCGAACAGCTTAAGGTCATTTTTCAGATCAGAAAGCTTTGGCAAGAACTTGTCCGGTATCATCAACGGTAGGTAATGTATAACAAGTAGGACATCTAAAACATAAAAATTATTCCTTTTCGTCTTACAAAATGACATTTTAGGTCATAATACTCATACCAGTATCAATTTCCGAGTGAATTTCAAAGCTTTCATGAAATTTTCGTTGATTGAACAGGTTCAATGCCATTTGGCGCTTGATTTCGACCAGTCGTTTCTTGTCGAACCCATCGGTATTTTCCTAAAATGTCAATGAGATCACTATGTTCCATTTACAATAAGTTGCCGTTAAAAACTCAATCAAAAAGTGACAAAAAATAAAGATTATCTTTTATTATTCATGATGGTCCGAACGCCCAGGTTTGAAGCTCCGAAAAGTAACATTGTTGTTTTAAAATTAACGTCAATTGTAATGTAAGTTATAAAACATATATTTAACTTTATTTATAAACCGAAAAACCCAGCTTTAGACCTTCTTCAACTTTAATATAGCTTATATTATCCATGACCATCTCATAGGTCACTCAAGCCTTATAAATTCAAACTAATCCAAGATTTTTAAAAACAAACTTGAAAAATAATCTACCATCCTTGCAACCCTCGTATTTTACCTAAACTTCAAGAAAGATCAAAATATTTCAAAACTTACAGCCAAAGCAACAGCCAGATCATAATGTTTCTCATTGACCAAAAACTCCACATTAGCTTTTGAAATTGGTCTTGAATTGAGTCGAGAAACCGATTTATCAGACGCTATGTACAATATACCATGCTTCATGCAACTGACAACCAATTTCGGTTGATTAAACGACAGCTTTTGAATCAGCATTGACGGTTCGACTGATCTTATCTCCACTATTCCTTTAGCCGAAAGACCAACAAGATATGGGGCATCGTACGCTGAAAAAGTCAACTTCTGAAGTCGTCACGATGTCAATATTTATAAAATTTTAGGCGAACATTATCAATATATTAGTGAATCATGTAAAACATACCAGCAGCCACCAAACTTTCCGAAAACCGGCAATTCTCCATCTTTATATTACCCTTCTCATCAACAAATGTCACCATGTTGTCGTTCAGTAACCCCACGGTCGTATTGTCCAATACCACAATAAATGGGTTATCTGGAGCCAAGACCAAGCTTTTCACTACTCCAATGTCCGTGGCATCAGAATCCGTCTCCATTATGCGACAAATTTGGTATTCATTTTTACATCCGAACAATGCTGAATGCCCTCCAATCCATGTGATTTTAGTCGCTATGTCAGGTAGATACTGAGGTATAAATGTCAGTTGTACTTCGTCAAATTCATCAAGCAACCATTTAAGTAGATAAAGACGCTTTTTAGCACATATCAAAACAAATAATCGATTGTTTTCCTGAAAGTTTATGTTATCCTTAAAGTTTTTTCATGCCACAAGCTTAGTTTTAGTCGTATCACTATAAAACTCTACCAAAATGTACCAAAATAAACTTACCTTCTCCAGATAGCAACCAAAAGAGGATATAGGCTTATATTTATTAAATACCGCCACAGTTTTGTAAGGTTCTGTTAGTTCATGCACGCTCAAATAGCCGTCAGTCAATGCTATAACAAGGTCCAAAGAATTTACAACGTGCAGCTCTTGTACAACCTTCTTTTCAAACCCTCGAGTCAGTTGGTATTCATAATTTCGTTTATCTGCAACAAAAAATTATATTGTCCATCATCAGTAGTGTTCATCAGCTTCAAAAGTGTCTAAAATTCAAAAAACAAACAAAATCTTACCATTAGATGACTGATTAATGCTTAACAAGTGTCCTTGCTTGCTTCCAACAAACAATTTGTCATGTTTATCTAAAAAATAATCGCTATATTATCCCCAACATAAAACAAGCCTTAATAATTAAAAGCTTAGCAAACCTACCACAACTAACCAAACTAGTAGCATCCAAAGGCAGTTTTGTAGCTACTTCTTCAGCAGCATAAGCTTCATACATTTTATATACATCAAAAACAATATTTTGTCGGAAGAAATAATTATTTTATCAAAATAAATAAAATTGTGACACTTCGCTCCAGTTTGTGGCGTTTCGTTAAAATCTCGGAAATATTGAGAAACTTTTTTTCCAATGAATAATCAAGTGAAGATTATGTCCTGATAACGCGAATTGATTGTCCTTGTTGTAATTTAGTCACTTTAAACTATCTTTATTCATTAAATTGTAGTTTAGCCAGTTTTCATTGTATAAATGGATTTTCAGATGGGTTCGAATTACGAAAGCTTGGTAGACATGTGTTCTGGCTCGTTGATGAGCCAAATCCGGACATTTAATGAAGAACAGCTTCGATTATTACTTGATCAGGAGAGCAAATTGGATGCTATGATTGAGCAAATGCCTCAGGTAGAATTTTTAAATTATTTTTTGATTTTTAGGATGTAGTTGAGATGGGTAATCTATTTTGATCGGATTTTAGATATTAATGGCTATTTTTCTTGGCGAAATTTTAGGAAACATTAGAGTACACATTGTTTTAGCTTTTAAAAGTAATTTTTCGGGTTTTCAATTGGTTTTAATTCACATTTTACGTGGTGTTGTTTTAGTTATTGCCTTTCTCAAGGCAGCTTTGGAACTCGATTTTTTTATGTTAATGGTAATGTATTTAAGCAAAAATTACAAATAAGTTAGAATAAACATTTAAAAAAACATTTATTGTTAATTTGCTAACTTTTTTTCGTATTTTACTACATATTTTTTTAGTTCTCCACGCTGAAGTCGGACAAGGAAATGAGGCTAATAATGTGCAAAAGCTTGGCTGAATCCAATGTAGCTATGGAACCAAAGTTCATACAAGACAAGGAGAACCTAAATCAGACATTACGAGAAGTTCGAGGTTTAATCGCGCAAGTCAAATCGATGGAAAAGGAAGTTGGGGATGATAATGGGCCTGAAAACCTGGAAACAACGAGCGCTTTGTTACAGTCGGCGGCTCAAACTGTTGAGGATGAAAGCGAGGTATGTTTTTGAGCTTTAGTTTCTTGTTTTAGGCAATAAAAGTGCTATTTTGAACCTCAACAGAGGTGAAACGGACTTAAAAGGCTTATATGATTTCTAGTGCAATATAACTTTTGATCTTTTCTTTGCTTTTTGCTAAACTCTTTATTAAATCTATTTTTAATTTGGACTCTGGAATCTATTGAAGAATTGTTTTAAGAATATTTAGGCAGTAAACTCACTAAAATATTGTTTTAGAGGCTTTCCGACCAACTCCAGGACGGTGACCTTGATGTAGATGAATTTATCAAGGAATTCGAAAAGAAACGTGTTTATTTTCACTTACGAAAGATTAAGGCCGAAAAGCTGATTGAATTATCAAGGAAGCCCGCATATGATCCTCAGACAGGTGGCTCTCGACCTTATTCACAACCAATCTATCCTCATCCAGCTAGTGGTTATCGACAGGTTGGAGCCTTTATGTATCCTACGCCAGGCTACAGAACTTCAAATTTTATGTAACTTTGTACAAAATGTCTTATTTATTGAATTTACAGTAATCTTTATGCTCTACTGTAACTTTGAAGGCCTACTGTTACTTTTGGAGACGTACTGTAAATTTAAAAGCCTATTGTAACTTTATGGTCATACTATAACGTTTATCATAATTTAATGGTTTTACTTTATTTTGTCATACTGTAACGTTACAGTAACCCGTATATAGCTATTTTATCATGTCTTTTGGCCAAAATATTATTAAAAACGGCCATAAACTATCAAAATTATACGCTTTTTGTACAGTACGCAACTTTTTAAGGGTTTACAACTGTAAATTTGTCTATTATCTTGTCTTTCTCTTGAAAAATTGTAAAAATAAGTATTCAAAATGAATAAAAAAGTATCGAATTTCAATTAAAATGCCATTTTTAAGTTACAAAAGACCCCAAAAATGAAAGAACATGCATTTTTTCCAGAAATATGCAAATTTCCTTCGATTTCAAAGCAAAATCAAACCGGTTTTACTCATTTTGACAATTGTTTTTCTTACACTCGGTCAACATATTGATCGAGGAGGGGTTCTTCGTACTATGTCATGCGATGAGATAGCCTCTTTTGAAACGTCGGATAGGTAAGTTCCAAGTTATTTTATGATAATGTAGGTTTTAGCTCAGATTTTGCTATGTTAACCTTGATTTTCTTTCAGAATTTGCTATGTTAACATAGGTTTTGATATATTGTGGATGATTTTTAGTCAAAAAACCGATTTTTTCTCAAAATTTTAAAAAGATTTTTAAAAATTTTGAAAATTCATGGTCATTTACATCTATAAACTACCATTTTGATACCTAAACACCCACCATTTCACTAAAATTTCAATTTTCTCCCACTAAATTCTATGTTATCCATGATAAAAAGCTCTAAAATCCTTGATTTCTCCCTAAAACATGTCAGTTTTCAGCATAACTAACAGTCAAGACATTGCTTCGTCATCGGATTCAGAGTTGGACACTCATTTGTTTGTTCAAAAACGAAAAGAAGATCACTTACTTTCGTGGAGTTGTGATGAAAGTTATACAGTGAGTTTTTGCTTGAAAATCAGTAAAAAAGTGATCTTTCTTTGAGATTTTTGTATAAATTTTGTTGTTTTATAATTTTTAAAGAGTTTAAAACAATTTTTGATAGATTTTGTTAAGTTTTTAAGCCTAAAACCATTAAAAACCGGACAAAAACATGTTTTTCTCTTTGTTTTTGTTTATTTCCCATTCCGAATCGGAACAAGAGAGAAACGAAGAGCCGAACGCTCAGAGCCTCCTTAGCTCAGCGGTAGAGCGTTGGACTTTTAATCCAACGGTCAGGGGTTCGATCCCCCTAGGTGGCTTGGTAATTTTTTGATGTTTTTCGGTTTCGAGGTACTGTAATACAGCATTTTAGTTTTTTAGATTATAAAACATTGTTTTTTACACTGGGCTTGAGGTCTATTTGTCATTATTATTAGCTTGTTTAGTATGTTTTTGATTTTTTTTTGATATTGATATGACTTGGTCTAATTTCGCCCATTTTCAGGATGAATCATCGACTTCGGTCCAATTCGAATACATTTACCCGACGTGTCTCAAACATCTAGAGAAAAAACATGCTGCAAAGAAGGCAAGGAAGCCCTCAAAACCCACTTATGACGAAGATTCCGATGAAAAACAAGGCTCCACATCTCACCATGACGCCAAAACCGATGATTCTGAAGCTCACGGAAGCCGTCACGAACCCAAACGAGATTCAAGATATCACCATGTTCATCCTGAAGCTGTTCCAAATCGTTCCAGAGCTCATCGTAGTTTACGACAGGCAAAGGATGATGATACTGTAACCACAATCGAACGTCAACTTCCACAACGTCACGATGAGGCTGTAGCGGCAGAAGAAAGCAAAAATGGTTATTCAACAGATAATTCTGACTCAGTATGGACAAATTATTCGTACTCGAGTTCCGACCGATCGATTTATCTCGACTACCCGCCTAGTACTACAACTTCGGCAGCTACAGTACCATCGGATTCAGAATCAGATTCTGAAGTCAACGTGGGAAGGAGCTTGGATTCAGAAGACAGTGACGGTTCAGAAAGTATTTCTGATTTAGAAACCACATCGGATTCAGAATCAAACGATAAAAACATAGGCAACACATCAAATGAACTGTCATCAGAATTCACCTCATCGTCGGCTAGTGACTGATCGGAAGCGGGCAAATAACGCGAATGACAACGTTCTCCCATACCCATTGCATATTATTATGGCCAATAAACGTCGAATTTTGAAAAGTTGGATCATATATGTGGAGTTTTAAAAGTGGAAGATTTCTAATGTAATTTGCATTGAAAATCTTCCAAAAGCAAAAAATTGTCGTATCTCGATCCATACTTGTCTAAATCGACCGGTTTTTTGGTATCCTATGTAAAATGACAATATCAAAAGCCTGAGCGTGCTAATTTTTTAAATCTTAGTTGTAAAAAGTTTTTATGACATCTCTCAGTTCTCATATGAACCATGAGCTAGGTCGAGAAACAAATTGCCGTATCTCGGTCGATTCTTGACCAAATCCGTCGCTTTTTTTGAATATATATGTAAAATGGCAAAAAAAAAGAACCTGTGCGTGCTAATTTTGTGAATTCTAGGCTTAAAAAGTCGTTATGACATCTCTTAGTGCTCATAGGTTTTTGCACCGTGCATCTGCCGTTTTTGGCCATAACTTTTTTATCTTTCATTTTCAACTTTTAATTTTTCGAAATTCAGATTCCTCATCAAATTCTGATCTAGAACCATAATTTTTACGTCCATTTAAATTTTTTTCAATATCCGCAAAAACTTTCTTTCCACCTCAAAATCATTCATTTTTCCTCAAAAATGTCATTTTTTCTGTACAAATGTATTTATTCCCATACAAAATACTCTTTGAATTGTAATTTGTACTACTTGTGATCATTATATAAACACTATATTAAAAAAGACTGATATAAATATTAGTTTAGGTAAGAAAAAAGGTAAAGTTGGTCCTAGTAACAATAAAAATGGTTACGAAATCATTAAATTAGTAACGTATTGATGCAAAAGTTATCGTGCTTCATTAAAAATGGCATTTTTTCAAGTCGCGCCATTCTTTTTCCATCAACAAGAAATCGGCCAAATGTAAAAAAATGAAAAAACGTGTTATAAAAACTGGTATAATAGTAAAAATTGGTGAATTTGAGATTGTTAGACCCGTAAAAGTTCGATTTTGTTGCTAAAAGAGATGGCAATCCAGTTGGAGTAGATGCCCGACCATCGGATTTTGGTGATCTCACCAGCAGCCGGATAGGCCAATATCGGCTCCGAAGTGTAGTGGATTTGCCATATTAGGGCTTGGCAGTCGCTTGCTGCAATTTTTTTTCAAATTTTTGAAAAACTTCGTAATTTGAATTTTTTTGGAAAAAATTTACCCCGCTTTTAATGTTCTATACTAAGTTGTTTTACCCCGCCTCAAAGTGCTTAACATATCATTTTTACCTTAGTCAACACCGCAAACTTAATTTTTTAAGAAATTTCAAAATTTCAAAAAAATTTTAAAATTTTAAATTTTCAAAAACTCACATCCAGTACACAGATGCTGATTCGTGTGTGGCGCCCAATCCACACTGTTGATCGGACTACTGTGCTTTGTGAATCGTTGTAGGACGCGGTTCGGCATGCGGTGATCTCCGACTATTACCTAAAATAATATAAATTGAAATTTTTTCAAACCATAACTTCTAAAATTTTAAAAAACAACAAAAATTTTCTTTATATTCGCAAAAATACCAAAAAATTTTATTTCAAAACAAAAGAAATGGCTTAATTCATCGTTCGTATAACATGTCACCCGCAGGCTGCGCAACCTTTAAATCGTTATAACTAGCTTTAAAATGCCCCCAACTGTACCAAGATTCGAAAATGAACTTTTTACATGATTAAAGTCGTAATGTTAACTTATTTGTATTTAATTTTTAAGGCAAAACATACAAAACCAACTTTTTCGTATAACATGTCACCCGCAGGCTGCGTAACCTTCAAACCCCTACAACTCCCTTTAAGTTGAACCAAAAACCCTTAAAAACTCTCAAAATAGCCTTCTGATGCCAGTAGAATATTAATTGTAAAAGCAAATTTTCCGTATAACTTGTCCCCCGCAGGCTGCGCAACCTTGAAACCTCTACAACTCCCTCCAAAACCGCCCCAAAACATACAAAAAAAACCTTCTTACATGATTCGAATTGTGATGCACTAAAGCCCAGCAAGTCTCGTCAATCTTGTTGAAGGCCAGATGATTCACAGCACCTTGTTCTGGGTCCTCATATATAATTTGCGAGGTTGACAAGTCCCTCAGGTCAAATAGCCTGGCGGAGCCATCGGCCGAACATGTGCCGAAATTATGTTGTCCACCATTCAATTTGCACCACTCTATGCCATGAACCGGCTTATCATGTGCTATCATTTGGGTGATGCACTTGTGCTTCAGTCGTTGTTGAACGTCGGCCGGAAAGGGTGGGGGCAGTTCGCTGATGGCTTTTTGGGCTTCAATGTCCCAGATGGTGCAGGATGAGTCGATGCTACAGGTAGCGATACGTTCGGTAAAGACTTCGTTCCAATCCAGACCAGTTAGTGGACTAACTTGATTGCCTCGGGCTGACTGGAGCTTCGCTTCGAGTACCAAATCTTTTGGTTCATCGTGATAACTGTAGATTCTGAGTTGTGCTGTAGCCGAGGCGATTAGATCTGGCTTGGTATGGTCTGGGTCTGGTATGAAATGGAGTTCTACCGATGGACAGCCAATGTACCTATGACATACTGTAACCAGGTCGCCCAGCTCTTCATCGTACTCTACTATTTCCATCTGAAAATGAATTTTTTGAGCTTTGACTCGAAATTACCAAGCTGATAATGTTTTGACATCTAGAGAATAATCCTAGTTCATAAAGACCAGAAATCTATACTTAACTTGAATTTATATTACACTAGGTATTATGTTATTTTTGGAAACAATTTTTGTTGTTTTGTCATTTTAAAATCTTTAAAACGTTATAAAATCTCGATCTACAGTCAATGTACCCTAAATTTTATCTATTTTCCCTATTTTTATACCAAAAATTACATTATCCATGATACCTATACCTACAAAAAGTATTGTAAAACTCTGAATTTAAAATTAAAAGCTCAAATTTTCAATATACAAGTAACTTCTATCTATATTTCATCTAATACCATCAAGAAAAAGCAGATTTTAACGTATTTTTAATCTTTTTCATCATTATATTATCCATGATGCCTCGGAGTAAAACAATCGATTTAGAACTCAAAATCTTGACTCATGATCCACAATTTAATGTGAAAACATAGCTGATATCTATTTTCAATCTAATTTTATCAAAAAACATTAATTTTCCTTCATTTTTCACCGTTTTTCCATGGTTATATTATCCATGATACCTGTAAGTAAAACAGCTAATGTTGGACTCAAAATCTTGATCCAGAACCCTAAATTCGATCTCAATACCTAGCTCATATCTATTTTAACCAAATTTTAACAAAGAACATAAATCTTCTACCATTTTGAACCTTTTTCCATCATTATATTATCCATGATCTCTCATTGTGACCTAAAAATCAAAAAAACAAAAAAAAATTTAAAAACTTACTGAATTTTTGAACAAATTGTTCTTGTCCTTGATAGTCGAGCATGCCAGTCGAAGCTTTTGGTCAGGGAACTTTTTGTACGACCATGCCATGGCAAAGTGTTGGTCTTTGCCTTCCCACTTGTAGATCTCCTTCTTGGTCTTGGTCGGTACGGATTGGCGGTCGGGTTTACACTTGGCTATGGATGTTTTTCCTCCGCCGCCGCTTAGGGCAGCACTGATTGAGGCTGGGATGTTTGAGGCTCCAATAATGGCTGTGGTTGAGGCCATGTTTGGAGCTATACCTACAAGAATATAAAAGTTAGTTAGAAAGTGGGAAATAAGCTTAAATTTACAAAATTGTGTATGTAAAGAAAGTTTTTGCCATTTTTTGTTTTGTGAAGAAAGTTCTTGCCATTTTTTATTTTGTAAAGAAAGTTCTTGCCCTTTTTATTAAATTTGTTACCTAAAATGCAAAACTTCTTCAAAGTTAGTATCTAAAATAAAAAAAATCATTTCAAAAACCCACCTATCCCTCCAGCCGGCTTATCAGCACTGGAAGCGGCCGGTATAGCTGCCGCGGCCAATTGGGCCGCATGTTGTAGGTTTTGAAGTTGTAAAGGCAAATTGCCAGCGGCCGCAAATAGTCCAAATGGCAACTCCAAACCATTAAAAGCAGCCAAACTTTGAAGAGCTTGAGCTTGGCCGCTAAGATTATTGGCTTGGCCGTTCTGTAGGCCGTTTAAGGCTTGTGAAGTTAAGCCCAAGGCTTGTGCTTGGCTAGCCAACGACTGACTGAAGGCTTGACCGTTTATAGCCGAATTTTGGGCCAGAGCTTGAGTTAGTCCATTTAAAGCTTGACTAGCCTGAGGATTTAGACCATTTAGAGCTTGAGCTTGAGAAGTTAGACCGTTGAGGGCTTGAAAAGCTTGACTAGCCTGAGGAGTTAGACCGTTCATTAACTGGCTAGCTTGAGATCCTAAGCCATTTAGTGCTTGACTAGCTTGTTGGCTTAGTCCATTTAATGCTTGGCCGTTTGCTTGGGGCAGTCCGTTACCTGAAACATTGATTTTTTACAAAACTGTTAATTAAAATTCACGTTTTAGACCTCAAAGCCATATGTACATCATCCTTGTTACCTAAAAACCAAAAAACCAAATAAAATTCTTACCAGTTCCATTCAGCCCTTGACTAGCCTGAGCCAATCCAGAAAGCAGTCCAGCCTGGCTAAGTGCTCCAGCTTGCCCAAGTCCAGACACTCCGGGTACCAGTCCATTCAAAGCTTGACTAGATTGTGGTAGACCATGTAGACCAGATTGTAATCCATTTAGAGCTTGACTAGCCGACGGCCCAAGGCCATTGAGTTGAGCATTGATCTGAACTTGTTCTTGTCTGGCTCTCTCCTCACGTTCCTTTTGTTCTTGTTGCTCTCGAAGACGTTTTTCTTCAGCTGATTGTTGTTCCAGAAGCTGGAGAACCTCGTTCGATGGTCGTTGGCCTAATAACGGGTCTTTTAAAACGTCAGCGTAAGGATTTTCACGTTCCTCCACTGGATGATTCACTTCTAGAGGTGGTGCTGGCTCACTTGGTGGCCTGAAAATAGAAAGTTTAAGTTTAAAAAATAGCTGAGTTTCTTAGCAATTTTGATATATAAATCAGATTGAAACTTGACCAGTTCTTTAAAATTTAAGCTATAAATCTATATTACACTAGCCATGGGTAATATACGGGTTATTTTTAATTTAAAAAAAATTTTCCAACCATCTAAATGCTTTTCAAAGATGGCCAATATAATAAAAAATATTAAAACACCAAACTCAATCCAAACTTATTGCGTTTACCTAGGCTTTCAACCAAGACTATATTACACTTGGCACCTAAAACAGAACTTTCACGTTTTAATCTAGATAACTCTTTTTAACAACATAAATCAGTAAAACTATACATAGAATAAAGGTTTTAATTAAAAAGACTATCATGATCGTATTTTACCTTCAACCCCCTCAAAAAAAATATTCTCCATAACAATAGATACCTACAAGCTATCGTGATTGTTATAGGCCTCGCTTTCGTTTGTTGGCTCTTCCGTAGCAACTCGACTAATACTTCCTGGCTCATCCTCATCAATTAACAACGAATGTGGTGAATCAGAATTCGAGGCACTTTCCATTTCACCTTCTGAAAACATCATACATCATGGATAACAACCTTCATCACAATATAGGCCTAAAATTCGAACAAAAACAAAGAAAACAACTTACTTTTCTCTTTTTTAGATGGTGATGGTTCGAAATCACTGTTTTCTTCTGGATTCTTCGAGCTTTTTGGTTTAGAACTGTCAATTTCCTTCGAAGTCGATGGAGTTGGATCTGGTGGTGAAAGTTCTTCAGCGGCTTCCGATTCCTTCGAGGTAGCCGGCTGAAGTGGCGCCAAATCCGAGCTGTTTACCTGCCCCAGGTTTGGTGGAGAGGAGTCTTGATTTGGGCTGGAGGAACCGCCTGAAACCGAGCAATATTATATTATCCATCAAACATCTGTGGTTAAATGTGAGAAAATTAATATAAATAGTCGTAAAACTAAAAGTGCAGTTGTAAATTATTTTTAAAAGCTGTAAAGAAAACTGATAAACAATATCATCAATGAAATATAAATATTTTCCGGAAAAAAAGAATTTATAAAAAATGACCGAATTTCCGAGCTTTTTGTCTGAAAAATACGTCGTTCTTCTATAAAAACCGTCAGTATTTCACGTTTTTAGACAAAAGCAAGATGGGAAAAATAAAATAAGAGTTGAAGAAAGTATAAATAAAAAGAGTTTTCACGATCTTTTTATATAAAAAATTTAGTTTGTATAGTTTTAGTTGTTAAGACGGCCGTTTTTCTGTTTTGGACTTCGTTTTTGACCAAAATTTTAATTTTAAAAACTAAAAAATGAAGAAAAAAAATACAAAAATCAGTTAGATCTTCGTTCTTTAATATTATTTTTACCAAAAACGTTATCATCATATTCCCTAATCTTTTTCGATTCAAAAAAAACGCGTTTTACCACCCACAGAACAAAAATACGCAAAATTTCCCGCCCGGCACTAGTTTTATTATAAAAAAAGTCAGGCTTGATTATGCAGAAGACTATTTGTATAAAAATTACTAAAAGAATGCAGCCTTTTATCAAAAAATTGGTAATCCTCCCCCAGGAGCCAAAGTAGTCTAAATCACCCTACCGACATATTTTTTAAAAGCATTATGCCCTACCGTACCCTACCCTACCTTTTACATCCAGTCCAATCTTTTTCCACCCCTCCCCCCTCCCCCCCCCCTCTTTGCTCATTTTCTCACTTACCATGTCCTTGCCCCATCCTTCTACAACTCATGGAAGCCTTATTCAACCTCTTTTCCTTAGACCGTCTGCCCAAAAGAGAAAAATCTACCCTTCCTACTTTTAATTCACCCCACCTATCCCTGATCCACCCCTTTTTCTTCTAATCCACTTCTTTTTTCACCCCTCCCTCTTATCCTTCCCCTTTGGTTTTTCTTCTTAAAAAAATCCACCCCTTATCACATCTAATTCACTTCTTTTTTCACCCCTCCCATTACCACTCCTCCCTCGGCTTATCAGCCTAAAATTAGTAGTAGAATCTGCTTTAAGAAAAAAAAAAAACTCACCGGCGTCCGTGCCCCCTTCCGTGAGTACGTTTTCATCGACTCTGTGTGCCTGTGCGTTGCTGCCCGTTTCCTCCATTTTCATTGTCCGTCCGTCCGTCTGTGCGTCTCTTCCCCCCAATGTGCTGTTCTCGGCGGGGCGGTGCGGTCTGGAAAAACATTCGAGGAATTCATATCCACAAAAGGGCGAACGTTCCCAATGTTAGAGCACGATGGAACGGTGGATGGGAATTATAGCGGTCGGGTATAGGAACGGTGGGTTTTTGGGAAGGGAACGGTGGGTTTTTAGGAGCAGAACGATGGCTTTTCAGGAAGAGAACGGTGGACTGGAACGTTAGCTTTCGACTATAGGAACAGTGGGTTTTAGGAAGAGAACGGTGGATTGGAACGTTAGCCTTTGACTATAGGAACGGTGGGTTTTAGGAAGAGAACGGTGGACTGGAACGGTGGCTTTTCAGGAATAGAACGGCGGATAAGAAGGTTGGGTTTTCAAGAAGTGGTGGGCAGGGTAAACTGATGGGCAAGGTAAAGTGATGGGTAGGGTAAAGTGGTGGGCAGGGTAAACTGATGGGCAAGGTAAAGTGATGGGTAGGGTAAAGTGGTGGGCAGGGTAAACTGATGGGCAAGGTAAAGTGATGGGTAGGGTAAAGTGGTGGGCAGGGCAAAATTATGGGCAGGTTAAAGTGCTGAGCAGGGTAAAGTGGTGGGCAGGGTAAAGAGATGGGCAAGGTAAAATGATAGACAAGTAAAAGTGGTGGGTAGGTTAAAGTGCTGGGAAGGGTAAAGTGGTGGGCATGTTAAACTGGAGGGCAAGGTAATGTTGTGGGCAGGGTAAAATGATGGGCACGGTAAAGTGCTGGGCAAGGGAAAATGGTGGGCAGGGTAAAGTGATGGGCAGGTTAAGAAGGCAAGCAATATAAAATAGAGGGCAGGGTAAAGTGCTGGGCAAGGGAAAGTGGTGGGGACGGTAAAATGATGGGCATGCTGAAGTGGTGGGCACGATAAAGTGGTAGCCACGACGAAGTAGTGGGCAGGTTAAAGTGACCGGTAGAATAAAGTGGCAAGGCAGAATTGAAAGAAAGGGTAAAATGACGGGCATGGCAAAGCTATGAGCTGAGTAAAATTAGAAGCAGAGTAAAATTAGGGGCAGGGTAAAATAGTAGGCATGGTAATATTGTGGGCAGGTTAATAATTCTTGAGGAGGGGGGGGTAAGTCGGGCTAGGCTCACGGCTAGTGCTGGGGCTAAGATGAGGGCTAGAGGTAATATTTTTTGAAGCTAGGGAACAGTATAATACTATAAACACATTGCCGATTCGTATTTTACAAAAAAAATACTAAAAACTCCAAACTTAGCCATAACTTAACTTATATTATACTTCCTCGTTTCACAAATCAAATTTAACTATTTTTTACTTTCCACTACCTTAAACTTTACTTTAAACCCTAACCGGTTTAAAAATAACTTCTCTTTCTCTAAAATTCTTAAAAACTTTCAAAAAAAATCAAAAACACCCCCCCCCCGAAACAATAAAAACAAATTTATTTACAACTCAATCATTAAAAGTAAACCCAATAACACTCGTATAAAATTATAATAGCATTGGCAGGCAGCCAAATTTATTGCAACACACACACACAGCCGAGAGAGTGTGTCGAACCAGGAGAGGGCGAGAGATGTCTCTTTCGGGTCAAGTGTTTCCCCGAAGAAGCCGGCCGGTGTGACAAGTGGCGCACGTCAATACTTGTTCGCCACCGCTGTTTTTAAATCAATTCTCGAGTTTTTCGAGAGTTTAGGCCTAAATTCTCGTTTTTCGAGCTGAATATATTGTTTTAGGGTTCAGATTCATCAAAAAATGGCAAAAATTTATTAAATCGTAAGTTTATCAAGTTGTATTGATGTTTTGTTCCTGAATAAAGGTGTTTTATAGTAGTTTAGAATATGTAGAATAATGTAAAAATAATTAAAAGTCTTAAAAATTTTGTTTGTAGGATAAAATATGGCATTAAAGTGGGTCAAGTCACTAAAAAATGAACTTTTTGGCCGTTTTTTTTATTTTTTCAAGGAAAATGACAATTTTTGATTGAAAAAAGTATTGTATATAGTACTATAGATTATTACAAATTGTTTTATGATATAATGTGACAATAACAGGCCGTATTTTACCTAAAACCCCCCATCGTCCTCTTACAACCCCAAAATTTTCTCAAAAAACCTACTTTTTTTGAAAAAAGTTACAGTAACCCTCAAATTTTTTAACTTTTACAGTACCCTACAAGTCTGTAGAAGTATTTTAAATACAATTTGTACACTATTTCGAAGCAAAAAGTTGTATTTTGGTCAAAAATATTCGAGAAAGTAGTGTTTTTTGCGGAAAAAGTGTGGTTTTGAAAAACGAACGTGCGTAGCTTCAGGCCTTTTGTTTCGGTCATCGTTCCGTTCGTCATGACGTTGGGCATGCTCTGGTTGATTCGGATATGTGATTGGTTTTTGGGATTTTGGAAATTTTGAATCGTTGCATTGATTACTCGCAATTTTTTTGGTCAATTTTTGCATTTTTTTGAATTTGTGCCATTGTAAAATCGACCATAGTAAAAACATGTATATCAGCCGATGTATAACTTCATTCTGAATAGATAGGACCAAAAAACGGGGAAATTGGAGCAAAAATGACCGAGTTATGACCAAAAAATGTCAAGGATGACGACTGCATTTTGGTGGGCCACACGCACCGCTTCGGCGGGAGAAAATAGAAGCGAAACGAGAAGTGCGAGTGCGACCAAAAACTGGGCTGACTCTCTTCCCCCTTCTCGCGGTCCGATTAAATTACGGTGGGCTGTTGACAAGATCAGAGGAGGGGTGAAAGAGCGCGGAGTTTGATGGAGACGACAGAGATTTGTGAGAGAGTGTTGTTTTGGGGGAGACGGGAGAGGGAGTTGAAATAGTGTTGGTTTGAGAGAGAGACATTTGAAATAGACATGGTTTTAGAAGAGAGACATTTGAAATAGAGTTACTTGTAAGAGAAAGACATTTAAAATAGAGGTAGGTTTAAAGAAAAGAGACAGTTAATCATAACGTATTTTACATAAAGAAACAGAAAATGAAGGCAAAGACATTTGTTATAGAAGAAACGTTAGAGGAAAAAACAATAGTTAGAGAAGTAAGAGAAAAAGACTAAAGAAAACAGGTTGAATGATAAGTTAAATGTGAAAAATATGAAGAAAAACCATTAGAATAGAAAAAACGCAAGTAAAAAAGTAAGAAAATGAAGTAGAACAGAAAGAAACATGATCAAAACATAAAGAAAAATTGAAAAAAACTACCCTATCCTATCCTACCCTAACATACACAAAAGGTTTTTCTTCACCTTACCTACCCTACCATGCTCAAAATTTTCACCCTTACCATCCCCACCCTCACTAAAAATTTTTTACCTTAACTTACCCTACCCTATCATGCCCAAAAATTTTTACCCTGTTCTTCCCTTCCTTACTATAATTTTTTTTACCTTACCCACCCTACCATACCCAAAATTTTGCCCTATCTTCAACTAATCTTACTAATTTTTTTTACTTTACCTTACCCTACCTTACCATACCCATACATTTTTACCCGTACCTACTCCACCCTTACCGAAAATTTTTGCTCTATCTTTCCCTATCATGCTCAAAATTTTTACTCTTATTCTCTCTACCCTACCATAGCACACCTAAAATTTTGACCCTATCTTTACCCTACCCTACCCTAACCTACCCTACCCTTACTAAAAATGGCATTACTCCTACCCTATCCCACCCAACCATACCCTTAAAAGGTACCAAATTTTCCCATTATAAATTGTAAAATACGGGTAAGGTTATAACAGCATTATTATTCAAAAGCAAGCAGGACTATAACTCTAGGGAGAACAACACATTCCCCCTCCTATTTTTTGTTTATTTTGAACTTAATGGATGAATGAGTTAGTAGAGCGATCGAATGAAATGACAAATGAATGAGTTATGAAGCAAAAAGAAACGCAAATAATGTGAGAACAGCGGCGGTCAACTAACATTGTTGTATGATTTATAGCTAGTTAAAATACGTCGACACAAAGTTGACAAATTTTATACAGTAATACCAGAGAGATTGGTATTAATTATTATACATAAAGGTTGCGCAAAAAGTTCTGTTACACGATTTTTTAATCAAATATTTATTTTAACAACAAATATGTCTAAAACAGCAACTAACAATGGTAACATATAGTACTAGTTATAACATAGTCAATCGGCTTCGAAGTCTAAATAATTTAACCGCAACATACAGAAAACGACCGGTAAAGTTTTGTATCAGAACTTTTTAAGCAGCCTTATTTTTCAAAAATATTAGATGTAACTTAAAAAATCATACAGTTAACAAATAAATGTATAGTTAAGCCTGAAAAAAGGCCTACTAGATTAGTCCCAGTCACTATATAGGCAAGGCCGGGCGCTGGGGGGCGGGAGTGGACTGGAAGAGGAAGAACCCCAGGGATTTTTCGACCCCCGTCCCCAGACCAAGAGTCCCCGCCGGCCCTGTGTATAGGTATACTCATAACTCATAATAGGATTTCAAACCCATAAGCCAGATTCAAATAGGCTGACCACAATTTCCATGCCCTGCTTTTTTTTAATTTTACAAAAGCTAACAAGTCGACCTCATACTAGGTCAAAGCCTTTTCTAGCCCACTGGCAAACAATAAGCTTAAAAATTTTCACTAGACCCAGCTTCAAGCAGAGCGGCCTAAAAATTGCCAAGCCTAGACACACTAACGATTGCCGAATCCAGACAAACCAACAATAACCGACCATACTCCTGTAAAGTGGCGGAAACTGTAATAGGGCCATACCACCCTCACTGCTTCAGGCAGGCCTGTCCCTCGAATCCGTACAATCCGACCCAGTCCGCCTTCTTTCAATTTTGTTTCTTTTGTTTCAGCCGGGCTAGTCGTCCCATTTTTTTTTAAACTAGCGAAGCCAAGCCAGGAAAAGAAGCCCAGTTCAAAAAACCGTTACTCTTCCTAAAGCAATCGCCTTTTATCTGTAAATCCAGCATCCTCTTTACT